TAACCTTAACGTTAATTTTTATGCGACAAAAAGGACTTTGCTGACAGAATTAAGTTAAGCATTTTGAGGTGGGGAGATTATCCAGGGTCATCCAGGTGGGCCCCAAATGTAACTCCAAACATTCTTTTTTAAAAAGATTTTATTTATTTATTCATGAGAGACCCAGAAACAAAGGCATAGGCAGAGGGAGAAGCAGGCTACATGCAGGGAGTCTGATGCGGGACTCGATCCAGGACCTTGGGATCACGACCTGAGCCAAAGGTAGATGCTCAACCACTGAACCACTCCAGGTGCCCCTCCAAACATTCTTATAAGAGGGAAGCAAGGGGATACTGGAACACAGAAGAGAAGGCCAGGGGACAGAAGAGCATCTCAAAGCAAGTCAGAGAGAGAAGATGCCACACTGCTGGTTTGAAGATGGAGGATGCAATTCTAGAAGCTGGAAAGGCCAGGAGATGGATCCTCCCCTGGAGCCTTCCAAGGGAGCCGGAGTTAAACTTAAATGTAGTGGCTAAAACAAAACAAATGTATTTTCACAGTCCTGGAGTCCAAAAGTCTGAAGTGAGTCTCACGAGGCTAAAGTCAGGGTGTTGGCAGGGTTGGGTCCTTCGGGAGGTTCTGGGGGAGATTCTGTTCCTGGCTTCTTGAGGTTCCCAGCGTCTGCCAGTGCACCTGGACCCCCAGCACTACAATCTCTTCTGCTGTCGCACATCCTCCTATCCCTTCTGTCGTCAGATCTCCCTCTGCCTTCTTACAAACTTGTGGTCACATTCACTTTCCACTTGGATCATCTCTCCATCCCAAATCTTTAATGTAATACCTGCAAATCCCTTGCCCTGCAAGCTCACATATTCACAGGCTCTGGGGATTCGAGTGTGGGCATCTTTGGGGGCCATTATTCTGTCTGTTACATGTGCTGCCTTCTTGAATCCTCCACCTGGGTTATGGTATTTCTTTGATTCTCTCTTAGTCCCCACCCCCCATCGCCATCTTGGGTAATGTCACATGTCCTAGACTTAGACATCCCACCACTGCACCTGCTCTGAGCCCCTTCCCGGGCCTCAGCCCCCAGAAACCACAGCCAGGACTCTAGGAGGAGTCTGGGGGAAGTCACTTGCCAACTCTGCAGTTGTAGGTCTCTCTAGTTTATGTCCCTGAGCACAACAGGTGAATTCACCCTCTCACCCTGAAGTCGCCTGGGGCAGCTCAGGGACTCCAGGGTTCAAGGGCTGTGGAGGCTTGAATTTGGCTCAGGATTTGGCTAGCTCTCCCTGGTCCAGCCCAGACTGACAGGCACGTTATGGTCGGCAACACAGATTGGGGCAGAGATACCCCTTCCAAGCCTGGAAGAAATGAGTCTTGCTGTGCAGAACGAGCCAGAGACTGAGAGCAGCTCCTTCTGGGTCTTCTCTCATGAGTGACCAGGCTCTGCAGGACCACTTAATATTTTCACTGTTATAAGCCCAATTGTTCTGCTTTTATTTTTTTAAAGATTTTATTTAATTATTTGGGAGAGAGAAAACGACAGAGAGCATGAGCTGGAGGGGAGAGGCAGATGGAGAGGGAGAGGTAGGTTCCCTGATGAGCAATGAGCTCCATGTGGGACTTGATCCCAGGACCCTGGGATCATAACCTGAGCTAAAGGGAGATGCTTAACCAACTGAGCCACGCAGGTGCCCTGTCCTGCTTTTAAACACTTTAATGGGGCTTCTGTTGTGCCAGAAATAGAGTCAAGTCAAATCCCTAATATGGTACCCAAGATATACATGGTCTCTCTCACTATTAGCTTTGGAGGCTGGTTTCAAATACCTAGCATGTGAGCATGTGTGCACATATACACACACAGGTGTCCTCACCCCTGTGGATACGTGGTACAAAACACATACTCAGAGACACAGGCATGCACATCCACAGTCAGCGCAGCTGTCCCTGCAGCCAGACCAGGTTGTGGACGATACAGTAGCAATGGCAACTGGACGGATGGGCAGGGGACATGATGACCTAGGGTCGACAACTCATGGCTCGGGATGTGCTCTGCTGATGCTGTGCGACACCTCTCTGGTAACCCCTGGCACCATTTAGTTAAACGTGACAAGTTGCCTTGTGTTTGAGAGACCAGTGGTTGAGCAGTTAAGGGAGGAACCAGTTACACATGAAAAGGAACTGAAGCTCTCGCTATGCAGTTGCGGATTGTGCTCTTCTCATTTCCTTTTCTGTATTTGTGATCAATTCAGCAATTTTCCTGGTCAGCAACTTCCCAACCTATATCGGGGCTCGGGGCTGGGGCTCGCCGCGAGCAGACCGAGCAGACCGCCATGTGTCCACCAGGGGGTGGGGGGGCACAACAAAGGCAAATGCTCAACCACTGAACCACCCAAGCACTGCCCCCCCTCCCGACTTAGGGCAGCTTGACCTTGTCAAGCTTAGGGCAGCTCTGAGACTGGAAATTTCTCACCAGGGCCGTCTACATAATTTGCAGGGCCCAGAGAAAAATGAAAATATGGGGCCCCTTTGATAAAAATGTAAAAGCTTTCTTCCTTTCTTCCCGTGATGGTCTCTCTTGACCTGGGGCGTGGTTTGGTTTTTGTTTATTTTTTTTTAAGATTTTATTTATTTATTCATAGAGACAGACAGAGAGAGAGAGAGAGAGAGAGAGAGAGAGAGGCAGAGACACAGGCAGAGGGAGAAGCAGGCTCCATGCGGGGAGCCCGATGTGGGACTCGATCCCAGGTCTGCAGGATCATGCCTTGGGCTGAAATTGGCACTAAACCGCTGAGCCACCCGGGCTGCCCCAGTTTTTGTTTATTTTAGACTAAAAAAAAAAATTGTGTGGGGGATCCCTTGGTGGCTCAGCGGTTTAGCGCCTGCTTTTGGCCCGGGGCACGGTCCTGGAGTCCCGGGATCGAGTCCCGCGTCGGGCTCCCGACATGGAGCCTGCTTCTCCCTCTGCCTGTGTCTCTGCCTCTCTCTCTCTATCATGAATAAATAAATCTTTAAAAAAATTGTGGTAAAAAAACATAGAACATAAAATTTACCATTTCAACGTATACAGTATCCAGTTCCAGAAATTTGCCATCACCCCAAAAGGAGACCCCATGCCCATTGGAAGCCATTCCCCTCTCTCCTCTCCCCCAGCCCCTGAGAACCACTAATCTATTTCTGGTCTTCATGGATTTGTCTTTTCTGGGCATTTCATTTGTGTCTGGCTCCTCTCACTTAGCATAATTTTTTGAGGTTGATCCAGGTCATAGCATGTGTTGGTAGCTGGCAGTTCTAATAAGCAAAGGGAACTTACATACGAGGCGTGTCTTGGGCTGCAAGATGAGTGGATCCCCACATCTGCCTCCAAATCTTAAAGTTTATATACGGGGAGGCCTTAACTGGGCTCACTCACCTATACCATGTGGGTGTTCAAGGAGCAGCCTCTGGGAGCAAAAAAGACACGCAGAACCCACGTTTCACAGACAGGGGCAGGGATGAGGTGCTGGGTCCAGCTCACAGGTCAACTGGTGGTCCCATCCTCTCAGTGACCTTCCCCACAGCTAGTTAATGTCCAATCCCTCAAGCTCGACTGGGCGGTTTGCAGTGTAGGGGAGACACAGGTGTCTAGGCCTCCCACCTCTCAGCTCAGCAAGGCTCAAACCCTCTCTGTGCCCAGTAGGGGCATGGGGGTGGGAGTGGGACTGAGAACCTGCTCTGGGGAAGGAGAAAGTGGGGAACGGGGGAGATGTGTGATCCAAGGTTCCAATTTCCCCGGTGCGTGCTCCTTACCCCATTAAGTATTACCCCACTGTACCTTCATCTACAAAACACAGATTCAAATCTAGGGGTACCTGGGTGGCTTAGTTGGTTAAGTAACTCTTGATCTCAGCTCAGGCATTGATCTCAGGGTCCTGCATTCAGGCCCCGTGCACTTAAAAAAAAACTCCTTTCCTTTTTTTTCTTTCACTTTTTAAGATTTTATTTATTTATTTGAGAGAGAAAGAGAGCACAAGTGGGGATGGGGACAGAGGGAGAGGGAGAAGCTTGCTCCCCAGTGAGCAGGGAGCCCTATGTGGGGCTTGATCCCAGGACTCTGGGATCATGACCTGCGCAGAAGGCAGATGCTTAACTAACTGAACCACCCAGGCACCCCTTTAAAAAAATCCTTAATAGGGGATCCCTGGATGGCTCAGCGGTTTAGCGCCTGCCTTTGGCCCAGGGCGCAATCCTGGAGTCCCGGGATCGAGTCCCACGTTGGGCTCTCAGCAAGGAGCCTGCTTCTCCCTCCTCCTGTATCTCTGCCTCTCTCTCTCTCTCTCTCTGTCTCTCTCTCTCTCTGTCTATCATAAATAAATAAATAAATAAATAAATAAATAAATAAATAAATCTTTAAAAAATTAAAAAAATAAAAAAATCCTTAATAAATACAATTATTAAGGATTTCAAGGTGGCAACTTCAGAGCATCACACCCCAGGTGTGAGGCCCTTAGGAGTGTGAGGAACTTGTGTCCCTGCCTGCTTCTCACTGTGGAGCTGGGAGCTTGTGTGGACTGCGACATAGCCCCAAGGCAGGCTGGGAAGCTGAATGCTCCTGAGTCGGGTCGGGGGCATTGGGTTTGGGGGTCAGAGGAGATGTGGTGCCTGCAGGCAGGAGTCAGATGATCAAGTTCTTCTCTTTGTCCCCAGCCCCTGTGGGGAGTAGATGTTTGCCTGGTGAATGAATGAATGAATGAATGAGTGCATGAATGAATCCTGCCCCCAGCACCTCACCTGGAGCCCATACTCCCTGAAAGCCCCACTGCTGGGGCTGCCCTCCGCTGAGGCTGATGTAGGGCTCCTTTTCTTTAGGACCAGACCTGCATCCTCTCTGCTCTGCTTCTTGCAACTGCGAAAGGAGAAGTTGGAATAAGGGTTTTTGTCAGGACTTTGTGATTTCCTTCCTGGGGTTCCTCTTCCGTAGATGATCACTACCTTCCTCTTTCCCCGCAAAAGCTTCCTGTTGGAGCTTCCTTCTGGGACAGACAGGCACATCCAGAAGCCAGACTGAGGACAGACCAGCCCTGGACCCCTGGAGATGCTGGTATTGCTGCTGTCTCTGCTGTGGGCCTGTGAGTGGGTTGAGAGCTGGGGATGGGGGGGGGGTCCTGTGGGAGGGAGGGGGCAGTGCTGGTTCTGACGCTGCTGCTGAGCCTCGATGTCCCCCCAGGGTCCCTGCAGGAGGACCCAGGCTATGAGCTACACGTGCAGGACTCTGTGACGGTGCAGGAGGGCTTGTGTGTCCGCGTGCCCTGCACCGTCTCCTACCCCCAGGTTGGCAGGCACAGCGCTACACCTGCTTATGGCTCCTGGTTCCGAATAAAGGGTAATCCCAAAGGGGAAGTTCTCATGGCCACCAACAAACCAGCCAAAGAAACAAAGAGGAAGATCAAATTTCCCTTCCACCTTTCTGGAGACCCTGGGGCTGGCGACTGCTCCCTGAGTATCACAGACGCCCGGAGGGAACACAGTGGACACTATTACTTTCATCTGGACAGAGGTCCCATGAGACACAGTTACAGGAGTAACATGCTCATTGTGAGTGTGAGAGGTAGGGAAGGTCCCCAAGAGTCAATAACAGGTGTGTGTGTGGGGTGTTCCTGAGGGAAGAAACAGACTCTCTGCTGCTCATCTTAAACAGGAGAGTAGAGCATAGTCAGTTCAGGGTTGGGGTGCCTCTTTGGGAAGCACACAGGGGGGTCCCCTCTGAGGTCCGGCCTCTCTTTCTTTCCTCTCCAGAGCTGACACAGGCTCCGGATATCTGGGTCAAGGAGCCCCTGGAGTCTGGCTGCCCCAGCCACCTGACATGCTCTGTGCTGGGGGCCTGTGATGGGGTGCTGGCCCCCACCATCTCCTGGACAGGGACTGCCCTCAAACCTTCGGGACTGGGCTTGGAGGCTTATAACTCCTCGGAGATCCTGCTCATCCCACGCCCGCAGGACCATGGCACCAATCTCACCTGTCAGGTGACCTTCCCTAAAGCTGGCATGAGCACTCAAAGCACCATTACGCTCAACGTCTCCTGTGAGTGTGGGGCAAGGACTCGGTTCCTGGGGGGTGGGAGGATGCAGGGGGGCTCAGGGGGTCTCAGGGGGGCTGCAGGGAGGACACAGGACTTGTCTGTTTCAATTCCCATTTCTGTGTCTCCTGGGGGTGGGTGGCATGGGAAGGGTGGACTCTGACTCCATTCCTCACTGTGTCTCTGTCCCAGATGCCCCACAGAACCTAGGCATCAGCATCTCCCGAGAAAATTGCACAGGTAGGTCAAGATGCCCTCTCCCTGAGGCTGGGATGGGAGCTCTCCCTGGCAGAGCAGAGCCTGGGGCTCGAAGCCAAGCCAGGAGGGCCAGAGTGATACACAGGGAGAGCAGAGTGGGGAGGCACTCCCACCCCTTCACTGTGACAGATGATTTTTGCTTACTATTTATTATATGCAATGACAGGTGATTCATTATATGCAAAGACTATTTGTCAAATACATGCAGGTTATGAAGAATCGCCATCAAATGAACACCTTGGTACTCACCATCCAGGTTAAGAAATAGAACAGGAGGGCAGCCCAGGTGGCTCAGCGGTTTAGCGCTGCCTTCGGCCCAGGGCATGATCCTGGAGTCCCAGGATCGAGTCCCACATTGGGCTCCCTGCGTGGAGCCTGCTTCTCCCTCTGCCTGTGTCTCTGCCTCTCTCTTTCTCTCTCTCTCTGTGTCTCTAATAAATAAATAAAATCTTTATTATTTTTTTAAGATTCGATTTATTTATTCATGAGAGAGAGAGAGAGAGAGAGAGAGAGACAGGCAGAGACACAGGCAGAGGGAGAAGCAGGCCCCATGCAGGGAGCCAGACGTGGGACTCCATCCGGGGTCCCCAAGATCACACACCGGGCTGCAGGCAGCGCTAAACCACTGCGCCACTGGGGCTGCCCTTTTTTTTTTTTTAATAAAATATTTTAAAAAAGAAATAGAACAGGAGCACCTGGCTGACTCTGTCCATGATGCATGCAACTTTTTTTTTAAAGATTTATTTATTTATTCACAAGAGACACACACAGAGAGAGAGGCAGAGACACAGGCAGAGGGAGAAGCAGGCTCCATGCAGGGAGCCCGATTGCAGGACCGATCTTGGGACCCCAGGATCACGCCCTGGGCCGAAGGCAGGCACTAAACCGCTGAGCCACCCAGGGATCCCAAGGTGTATGCAACTCTTGATCTTAGGGTCATGAGTTCGAGCCCCGCATTGGATGTAGAGCCTACTTAAAAAAAAAAAAAAAAGAATAGAACAGCAACCTTGCCTTTGGAACACCCTAAATGCCCCTTCCCAATTTCAGCCCTTTCCATCTGGCATCAGAGAAAGCCACTATGCTGAATACTGTGTTACCATTCTTTCTCTTTATTTTATTTTACTTTACTTTTTATTTTTCATTTATTTTTAAAGAGATTTTATTTATTCATGAGAGACACAAGGAGAGAGAGAGAGAGGGGCAGAGACACAGGCAGAGGAGAAGCAGGCTCCATGCAGGGAGCCCAACACGGGACTAGATCCTGGGACTCCAGGATCACGCCCTGGGTCAAAGGCAGAACCGCCGAGCCACTCAGGCATCCCTACTTTACTTTTTAAAAGATTTTATTTACTCATTCATGAGAGACAAAGAGAGGCAGAGACACAGGCAGAAGGAGAAGCAGGTTCTCCACAGGGAGCCTGATATGGGACTTGATCTGGGAACTCCGAGATCACACCCTGAGCTGAAGGCAACCACTCAATCACTGAGCCACCCAGGCGTCCCTATTTTATCTTATTTTTGATGAAAGTATAATTGATGAATACATTGTATATATCTAAAGTGCACAAGGTGATGATTTGATATATGGAGATTTGATACACATTTACACTCCTAAAGGATTCACACAACCCAGTTAATTAACACGTCCACATATCTTCTATTTTCTTGCAATTTTACGAAATAACACGTCTGGCTTCTTCCACTCAGCATGATGTGATCAAGGTTCATCCACATTGTAGTGTGTGCAGGTCAGTGTTTCACTCCTTTTTGGGCTGAATATTGTTCCATTGTATAGAGGGACCACCATCCATCCATCCATCTGTGGGTGGACATTTGGGTTGTCACCTTATAGTTCCTGTCAACAGTACTGCTCTGAACACTTCCATACAAGGATCTGCTTGACTCCCCACTTCTAGTTCTTTTGGCTCTAGGAGTGGATTTGCAGGGTCACAGCTACCTTGACTTTTGTGATGTGGCACCACCTCGTGTTCTTGACATTCATCTGTATTGCTTGCTGCTGTAATTTCTGCCTCTCCTTGTCTGTAGGTACCACATTTTAGTTTCACTCTTTTAAAAAAAAAGATTTTTATTTATTTATTTGAGAGAGAAAGAGAGAGAGACTGCAAGCACAAGCAGGGGGAAAGGCAGAGGGAGAGGAAGAAGCAGGCTCCCCACTGAGCAGGGAGCCTGACATGGGGCTCCAACCTAGGACCTTGATAATGACTTGGGCTGAAGGCAGATGCTTCACCGACTGAGCCACCCAGGCGTCCCTCACCTTCTCACATTCCACTCTTGGTGGGCACTTGAATTGTCCACAGAGTTTAGTTTTCTTTCTTTCTTTCTGTCTTTCTTTCTGTCTTTCTTCATGAGACACACGCCGAGAGAGAGAGAGAGAGAGAGAGAGAGAGAGAGAGAGAGAGAGAGAGAGAGAGGCAGAGACACAGGCAGAGGGAGAGGCAGGCTCCCTGGAGGGAGCCCGCTGTAGGACTCGATCCCGGGTCTCCAGAATCACGCCCTGGGCTGAAAGCGGTGTTAAACCGCTGAGCAATCCGGGCTGCCCCAGAGTTTAGTTTTCAGGATCATGCTGCCTCTAACATTCCCCTCCCCTCATGAACAGAGGAATGTTTCTCGAGGCCATACTTCACAAGCTCTGTTGTACACACAGATTTCTCAGGGATCTTGTGACAATGCAGATGTGACTCAGGAAGCCGGCGGAACCTCTGGTTCTGCATTTCTTTCTTTTTTTTTAATTTTATTTATTTATTCATGAAAGACACACACACACACACAGAGGCAGAGACACAGGCAGAGGGAGAAGCAGGCTCCATGCAGGGAGCCCGATGTGGGACTCGATCCTGGGTCTCCAGGATCAGCCTGGGCTGAAGGCAGCGCTAAACTGCTGAACCACCTGGGCTGCCCTGGTTCTGCATTTCTTTTTTTTTCTTTTTATTTTTTTTTAATTTTTTTATTTATTTATGATAGTCACACACACACACACAGAGAGAGAGAGAGAGAGAGAGGCAGAGACACAGGCAGGCAGAGGGAGAAGCAGGCTCCATGCACCGGGAGCCCGACGTGGGATTTGATCCCGGGTCTCCAGGATTGCGCCCTGGGCCAAAGGCAGGCACCAAACCGCTGCGCCACCCAGGGATCCCCTGGTTCTGCATTTCTAACCAGCTCCTGGAGAGTGCCAGTGCTCTGAGGAGTGAGACTGTAAATTTCATGCCCAGGAGCAAAACTGTGAGGTCTCAGGGATGTATATTTTCAACGTTCCTACATAAGGCTGTTATAGAATAGCCCCGGGAGACCACACCAGAAACTGGCAATAAATGTTGCTTTTGATGAGACAGATTTGTTGCCCGGGGAGACATCACGGAAGGGAGATTTTGCTCTGAGCATCCCTTCCTCCTTGTGAATTTTGGAATGCAAAATGTGGATGCCCTATTTATCCTGAGACAACTGGGGCAGGGAAAGGAGGTGAAGAGGTAGAGGTCATGTCCTGAAAAGCCTTGAAGGGTTTGATACTTGAATTTTGGGTGCTTGAGTGAGGAGTGTTCAGCAGTTGGGGTAAGAGAGGGAGAAATGTAGTGAAGGGTGCTCGCCTCAAAGGAGTCAGGGTCCCTCAATGGGTGGATAAGCACCACACAGCCTATCCATGCTGCGAACATGAGTCTGCCATGAACAGGGGTGAAGCATCGACAGGGGCCACCAGCAGCAGAACCTTGGAAATGTCATGCCACACAAGAGAAGCCAGATACAAAAGCCTACATGGAGCATGATTCTATTTGCAGGCAATGTCCAGAATAGATCTATAGGGACAGAAAGGTGGCTAGGGGTTGCCAGGGGCTCGAGGTTGGGGGGATTGGGAGTAAGGGGGGGGAGGCAGTTGGGAGGATACAGGGTTGTTTTTAGGGGTGATGAAAAGGTTCTAAAATTGATTGTGGCATGACTCTAAGTGGTATGTAAATGGAATTGTATGGTATGTGGGTTATATCACCATAAACCTGCTTATGAAACTATTTGTGGAGATCTCTTCCCAACTTAGGAGAAATTCAGAGGAGAGAGAAATAGGACCAGGGCTGTGGAGCCTCTGGGCTGGATTCAGAGTGTGCATTCTCTCTCTCAATCTCTCTCTCTCTCTCTCTCTCTCTCTCTCTCTCTCTCTCTGTCTCTCCACCCAGAACTGAAATACCCAGGGAATGGCTCATCTCTTCAGGTCCTGGAAGGGGAATCTCTGTTCCTGCTCTGTGCTGCTGACAGCAACCCCCCTGCGGAGCTGAGCTGGTTCCAGGGGTCCCCGGCCCTGAATGCCACCCCCATCTACAGAAGTCCCATCCTGGACCTGCCTCAAGTAGGGGCTGCGGAGGAAGGAGACTTCACCTGCCGAGCTCAGAACTCGCTGGGCTCCCAGCACGTCTCCCTGCACCTCTCTGTGGTTTGTGAGTGAGGGGACCCCTGGGGGCAGGACACCGGGGCCTGGGGAGCAGGGGCACCGCTGACCCCTTCTCCTCCCTCCCCCAGACCCCCCGCGGCCGCTCAGCCCCTCCTGCTCCTGGGAGGGCGAGGCGCTGCAGTGCACCTGCTCCTCCCACGCGCGCCCGGCCCCCACCCTGCGCTGGCGGCTGGGGGAGGGGCTGCTGGAGCGGAACCACAGCAATGCCTCCTTGACCGTCACCTCCAGCGCTGAGGGGCCCTGGGCCAACAGCTCCCTGAGCCTCCGTGGGCCGCTGGGCTCTGGCCTCAGACTCAGCTGCGAGGCCTGGAATATGCACGGGAAACAGAGCGCAGCTGTCCTGCTGCTGCCAGGTCTGGGTGCTCTTGGGGGCAGAGGTGTGGGAGGAGGGAGTCCGGATCCTAGAAAGATGTTCTGGGGGTGGGGTTGGGGTCTGAATGGGAAAGGGTGAGAGAGAGGAAGGGCAGGGGGACAAAGTCCTGGTTTTCTCCTGGTTGGGGGCTGAAGACCATCAGAATTGGAGTTTCTTGGGAGGAGGGCACACAAGGATCCTGAGGCTTGGAGGGGACTCACCCAAAACCCCACTCCCCTACAGGGAAACCTGAGCTTGGGGGAGGATTCCTTCTGGGGGCTGTCGGGGGTGCTGGTGTTGCTGGCCTGCTCAGTCTCTGTCCCTGCCTCATCTTCTTCATGTGAGTGCTATCCCTGGGAGAAAGGGTGAGTGCATGGGGTGGAAGGGGTCCAAGTCCTAGGGTCCTGGGCAGCCCCAGCTGGAGGCTGTAAGATTTGGGGATTGGGCCAGAAAATCAAAGATGTGTCTGCTGCCACCCTAATCCTGGCCATGCCCATTTTCATGAGTTATCAGGCTCTGTGGTCCCTCCTCCAGCCTTCCTTAGCCTGGCCAGACTCGTAAGCAGGGGACAATAGTGAGTCAATTGGACTGCTAACTGTGGCTTCCCCCTTAGAGTGAAGACCTGCAGGAAGCAGGCTCCTGAGCCTACAGCTGGTGGGAAGGATGCTGCCTGCATGTTGGGTCCCCTCTCCTGGGTAAGTGATGAGCCCTCTGTTCATCGGGATCCTATCTGGCCACCACCCAAAGATGGCCACACCCCTCTAGATGACTTAGCTGGTCGTCATGTCCCAAACAGGCTTATGTTCTCAGGTCCCCATGAACTCAGTCACCTGGGCCAGTGATCCGGGAGTCACTCTCCTCTCTGCTCTCTGACTCATCTTGCAGAGCCAAGGACCACAGCACCTTCCTGTGTTCACCTGAGCCCTCCCTACCCCCACCTCGTCCCATGGAATCACTTTCCCCTCCTTGCTCTCTCTCCTCCCCAACATACGGGGAGGAGATCAAAATAACCATGCCAGGGGGATCTCCCCAAAATAACAAGTACAAAGTTCACAGGTCCCCAAGGCACTCTCAGGTTCAATAGCTCACCAGAGGGACTTCTAGAACTCACTGAGATTTGTTATACTAATAGTTAGTTGATTACGGGGAAAGGATACAGATTAAAGCAGCCAAGGGGAGAGGCACCTGGACTCTGCTCAGGGGAGTTCCATGCAGGAATCTTCCAGGCATCTCTCCCAGTAAAGACGCCATACACAGCGCTGATTTTTCCCAGCACTGATGTGTAATAAGAAGCAGGGAGTGTGGTGTGGCATCATGTGTGTGGGCATGATATTGCCACCAAGGAAGCTCACCCTAGCCCTGTGTCCTGGGTTCCTATCAGGGGTCGGTCACATAGGTATGGAGCACCTTTATGACCTTTGTTATATGGTCTCCATCCCCTCTAGAGGTCAAGCTGATACCATGTGGTTCAAGGCCTCACCATAAGTCATGTTAATGTAAACTACTTGGTGTGGCCTAAGGCCCCAGGTGAACAGAGATGTTCCATCAGGCAGGACAGTCCATTGACTTAGAGGTTCCCTCCCAGATGCTGGCGCAAAGGGTCAAGCCTTTCTTTGGCCATGGTGAGCCCTTTCCTGCACAATATCCTTTTCTTTAAGGGTTCCTGGTACAATTTTGTGATTTCGTTTGCCTGAACTTTTGAAATGCTGAGTGGTCCCAGAGGGCAGTTCAGTTCTGAGCAAATCTCTGTCCTCACACCACCTCTCACATCACAGTTGGCCATTAGATGGAAATATAAGTGACTACAACAATGTCAGCTTCCCCCACTGCAAGCTAGTCAGCGGTCATGGATGACGTCTGCTTTGTTCCCCACTGAAGAGCCAGAGCCTGGCACAGGGCAGCTGTTCCATAGGGTGGAAGGCACTGGGGCTAGAGAGACCCAGATGTTAATCTTGGCCCTACCGACAACTCAATGTGTGATTTTTGGGATATTTACTTAGACTCAGTTTCTTCACCTGATAAATGGGAATAGTAATGTCTCTCTAATAGCTTGTTGTGAGGAATCTAGGAGCCTGGCAATTGATTACCAAGGGCCAGGCAATATTTATTGAATGAATGAATAAATGAATGAATGAGGGTACAGCCAATGTTTGTGGAATGAATAGATGAAAGAGTAAGTGCTCAGTTTCTAGGTTTGCTTGTGGATCCTCCTTGCTATCTGCCAGGTCCAGTTATCCTAATTGCACCCTTCTTTCGCCTCTATTCAGGGTTATAAGCATGAGTGCCCATTAGGGGCATCCATACCCCTAGCCCACCCGCCTGCAGCTGTTGGTGTTCCCACCTTGGAGGAGGAGGAGGAGGAGCTCCATTATGCCTCCTTCACCTTCCAGGGGCTGAGGCCCTGTAAGCCTCACGACCCAGAGGGCACCAGCGTCACAGAGTATTCAGAGATCAAGATCTGGAAGTGATGACCCCCAGCTCCAGCGAGCTCCACGACCTCTGTGTAGAGGGCCCTGGGCTTCTCAGGGAGGGAGACATCGGGTACAATTCTTGAGAGAATGGTTTTCCATTCCATGGAAACGGGTTGCCACATAATGAGTGGGAGTCCCACTAGTGCGATGGACAGAGTGGGGCTCAAGTTTCAGCCCGTCACCAGTTTCAAGCCCGAGTTCAACTTTACTTCTCATTCTCCCTCTCTGCAAAGTGGACACAATACACCTAACTCCCCGGGTCGTTGAGGGGAGTCAAGGTGGCAATGAACGTGAAGGGTCTGACAGTGGTGCAGATGCAGAGAGCAGCCTGCCCGAGGTAACGCCTCTTCCCAGGGCAGCCCACCTGGTGTAAGGCTCTGCAGGGTGGTTCCAGCTCTGTAGCCCTGACCGCCTGGGCCGCTTCCTCAGGAACACTCTGAGCCTGCTTCTTGGAAACCCAATTTGCTGTGTATTTTCACCACACAGAAAATCATTCACAGATTTTCAGAAATAAATGATAGGTTATCTGAATTATAGATGCCTCTTTCTTTATATGTCCTGGATGTTTTGGTTCTCCTCCACAGTGTCTTCTCTTTTGTAGAATTTACTTAGAAAATCCTTGCGATTATTACGGTCTGGGTTCCATTTCCATTGTGATATCATGTTAGCCTTAAAATAGAAACCGCCAACTGCTTTGCCAGCAAAAATGGGTTTATTGGGGAATAAAAGAGAACTGCAATTGTAAATAAATAAATTAATTAATTAAAAAAAAAGATAGAAAAAAAGAGGCACCTGGGTGGCTCAAAGGTTGAGCCTCTGACTTTGCCTCAGGTAGTGATCCTGTAATCCTGGGATCAAGTCCTGTATGGGGCTCCACGTGGGGAGCCTGCTTCTCCTCCTGCCTATGTCTCTGCCTCTTTCTCTGCATCTCTCATGAATAAATAAAACCTTAAAAAAAAAAAGTTGCCTGCAAAACTGCAGGTGAATCTGCAGCGGAGGCATGCTCTTATGCAGAAAAGGGGCAAATGGGGAAACCCATTGGAGTAAATTGGGAGTTGGAAGTATACTGGCTGAGCTGTTGGGGGGCAGGGTGGGATTAAGAAAAGCCAGTCTTCCTCTGGCAGGGATAGTGGAATAGTATATACCCCCTGCGAGGTCAAATCTGTCTCTTCCTGTTGGGTTTGCAATTGACTATGAATGGTGGGGCATTAGGGCTCTTCTTGCTGAAACCACGCCACTTCATTTTAGCGCAGTTTCTTGTTACTAATTTTCACTGTAGTTTATGCAGTGGTCACATCCAATTTATTTTTTCCCTTTGAATGTCCATTTACTTTTTTCTATTGTGTCCATTAATGAGAAAACATGTTCAACCTTAGAATTATGATCCAATATAGTGAACATGTGTTGGCATAAAGTTAACTGCTCTTCAAATATGATGTGTCAAGGGGTGCCTGGCTGGGTCAGTTTCAGGGAACCAATGACCCCTGAACTTGTTTTTTTGCAGATTCCAGTTCCAAGTTGGGTGTAGAGATTATTTAAAAACAGAAATTAGGGTAGCCCTGGTGGCACAGCAGTTTAGCACCGCCTGCAGCCTGGGGTGTGATCCTGGAAACCTGGGATCGAGTTCTGCGTCGGGCTTCCTGCATGGAGCCTGCTTCTCCCTCTGCCTGTGTCTCTGCTTCTCTTTCGCTCTCTCTGAATAAATAAATAAATAAATATTTAAAAAAAATAAAAATAGAAATTAAAAAGAAAAGTCGATGTGTCAAATTCCATCTTTCACAGCACAATTTGCTTTGCCCTTCAAGATTATGCAGCATCTCTTGATCAACGACTTTTTTTTTAAAAAAAATTATTTATTTATTTATGAGAGACACTCAGAGGCAGAGACATAGGCAGAGGGAGAGACAGGCTCCATGCAGGGAGCCTGATGCGGGACTCAATCCCAGGACCCTGGGATCACTACCTGAGCCAAAGTCAGAGGTTCAACAACTGAGACACCCAGATACCCTACTTTATTTATTTTTAAAAGATTTTATTTATTTATTCATGAGGGAGAGAGAGAGAGAGAGACAGAGACACAGGCAGAGGGAGAAGCAGGCTCCATGCAGGGAGCTCAACGTGGGACTCGATCCCGGGACTCTAGGATCATGCCCTGGGCTGAAGGCAGGCACTAAACTGCTGAGCCACCCAGGGGTCCCCTATTTTTATTTTTAAAAAATATTTTAAAAATTTTATTTATTAATGAGAGACACAGAGAAAGAGAGAGGCAGAGACACAGGAAGAGGGAGAAGCAGGCTTCCTGCAAGGAGCCTGATGTGGGACTCAATCCCAGATCCCGGGATCACACCCTGAGCTGAAGGCAGACCCTCAATTGCTGAGTCACCCAGGCATCTCTAAAAAAGATGTTAAGTAATCTATACACCCAGTGTGGGGCTTGAACTCACAATTCTGAGATCAAGAGTCACACGCTCCACCAACTGAGCCAGCCAGGTGTCCCTATGGCGTATTTTAAAAATCAAGAACTTGGGTGGCTTTTCTTCAGAATTAAAATATAATTTCAGGGGATCCCTGGGTGGCTCAGCGGTTTAGCGCCTGCCTTTGGCCCAGGGCACGATCCTGCAGTCCCGGGATCGAGTTCCGCGTCGGGCTCCTGGCATGGAGCCTGCTTCTCACTCCTCCTGTGTCTCTGCCTCTCTCTCTCTGTCTATCATAAATAAATAAATAAATCTTAAAAAAATTAAAAAAATATAATTTCAGCATTTCAACTAAACAAACGGGATTTTCTCAACTTTATTTGTTAAAGAGAACCACTGGAGGTTTTGAATGATAGAGAATTGAAAAACATTGAATGGCAACAAATCCTAATAATCTTTTAATCCCTCAGTTCCAACAGCATAAAAAGTAAGAAAACAATTTCCTGAGATTTATTTCAATGAGAGTAGAAGAGCCAGCAGTACTGTTTGAAGGGCATCGTGTAGAAGGGCAGGGCAGCCAGTGATTCCCACAGAATCATGCGAGCTGTGTTCCTGCTCTGAATAAACATTGTCTACATCTTTCACAAACACCCATCAAAATTTGTATTTGTAGAATCTCCCTCAAAAGCAGTAAAATTCTTCTTGTTAACTTCCAAGTCAGTGTGAAAAATAAGACAACAGGCCCCAAATGGAGTTGCTTATGCTAAGCCATGTATCACCAAACCCAAGCTTACAGTTTCAGCTCTCCCAGTCATGGAATCCCAATGAGTCACCCTGATGAGCACTAGTCAGATAATCCCCCTGCCAGACCCCTGAAGGACAGCGACCCTGCACTAACCAACCTGCTTTTTGGCCTCTTACAAACTTTTTTTTTTTTTAAGATTTTATTTATTTATTCACCAGACACACACACACACACACACACACACACACACACACACACAGAGAGAGAGAGAGAGGCAGAGACACAGAGAGAGGGAGAAGCAGGCACTGTGCAGGGAGCCCGACGTGGACTCGATTCCGGGTCTCCAGGATCAGGCCCTGGGCTGAAGGTGACGCCAAACCACTGAGCCCCCCGGACTGCCCCTCTTCCAAACTTTCTTGTTCCTGCTTCCTTCTGCCCACAAAAGTCTTTCACTCTGTATAGCTCCCTGGAGCACCTATTTGCCCAATTGGATGCTGCCTGGTTCATGAATCATTGAACAGAGCCAATAAGGTCTTTAAAATTTGCTCAGTGGAATTTTGGTTTTTAACATCAGTAAAGGAGTCTCCATGAACATTTGCTGTTGTTCCTAGGGTCTCATCCAGAAGAGATTCTATTTGTACTAGTCTTGGAAACAAGCTTTTATCACAGGAAAATTATTTCATAAGGGAAATGATTTGCCCTTTGCAGTTGTCTACTGGGATGCCTCTTTTTTTTTTTTTTAAAGATTTTATTTATTTATTCATGAGAGATGCAGAGACAGAGACATAGGCAGGCTCCTTGTGAGGTGCCTGACACAGGACTCATTCCAGGACCTCAGGACCATGACCAAGTCAAAGGCAGATGCTCAACCATTGAGCCCTCCAGGCGTCCCATACTGGGGCACCTCTTGGAGCCATACCACATACCTGCATTTACTGAAGGCTCACAGGTGTCCTGCATTAAAAATTATTTTAAAAAAAGAAAAAGAAAAGAAAAAAAAAACCCCAACCCACCACCAGCCTCTGCACTACAAACATCTGATTAACTTTGGGCCAGAGTTTCATTTGGGAGCAGAAGCAAGGTGTAGAGGACAAGGAATGGGTTCCAGCCACAATTGACCACATGTTGCCATGTGATTCTCACCTAATGACAACACCCTCCTCTCTCAGAGGTTGGGGGGACAAGCTGCCAAATACGAGCTCAAGAACCTGGGCTCTGCAGACAGACAAAAGTGGATTCAGAGGCAGAGGGAGGGAAACTGTCTACACACTCCCTGCTGTCTGGTTGTTTGAGTCTCCTGCTGCCTGAGCAGCACTGGGTCCTGGCTGGCTTTGCCCACTCAGAGATGAGGGCAGAGGACAGAGGGGCTGCGGGGACTGGGCAATGCACCAAGTGGCAGTGCGATGGAAAGGCCTGATGTTGACACTGTGACCATCCTGTAACCTGATTTGGGGCCCTGAAGGGTGGCTGATGTCCGTATTCTTTTGTGGACTCATCACTCAAGTGCTAGAGAGGCTTTAAGAAGATTTGCAGGCGAGTTTTCTCTCTCATTGAGGAATATCTCCTTCTGGAAATCGCTATACACACCTGATCTTAACTAGGAAATGATCATCAGCCTGCTAATCTCCCCTGCACCTTCTGAGCAGGCAAGAATTAGGGAGAATCAAAGTAGATTCTTCTTCGAACTGGCCTCTTACCGCCCCTTTCCAGAGTAATGGTGAATGATTCCAGATCCTCAAGACCAAGTCTGGGAGGTAAGTGTACCCCTCTGTTCTGAGTCCCTCCCAGTCTGGTCACTGGACACATGCTACTGGTCAGGCTGCCTCTGAAATCTCTCCACAGGCCCTCCCTTCCTCCAGCTATGGCCACTGCCCATGCCTCATGCTCCCAAGGGAGCAGCTATGCCTGCCTCCTCCACCGTCTCTCTATCCAGGTTCTCTGCAAGGTGCCTCCCATCCCTGGGCCCCTGGGTCTTCATCACAGCACCGTGACTTTTTTCTAGCACATGGAGTATAACCCAGTCATCTCATTTAATGCCTTCTCCTCAACTGGATGCTCCAAAAATTCAAGGACCTCAATGTGTCTTCTTCATCAGGATCCTCCGTGCAGCACGACTAGTGTCATGCAGCAAAAATTCAAGATATGCTTGTGGAATATTTGTTGAATACAAGGAAGGATAAATGTCTGGAAGGGTAGATGGATGGAAGAATGAACAGATGAATGAAAGGATGAAAGGTGGATAGGAAGGTGGGTGATGGAAAAGTATATGGAAAGATGGGTGGATAGATGGAAGAATGACTCAGTGGATAAACAGATGGATGGATTGATATGTGGATGGCTGATGGTTGGATGAATAAATGGATGCCTAAACAAATGGATGGGTGGATGGCTGGAAGAATGAACAAATGGATGGGTAGATGGCTGAATAAATGGATGGGTGAATGGGTGGTTGGTTGGATGGAAGAATGGATGGCTGGATAAATGGACAATTGAATAAATGGATGGGTGGATGACTAGATGGAAGAATGAATAGATGGATGGATGGATGGATAAATGGATAGATGGGTGGGTGCGTGGGTGGATTGGTATCTACATAAACTTTCAATAGATGGATGAAAGGTTGAAGGGATGGACAGATGGAGAAAAAAAGTAAACTTTTCCAAAATGAACTCCTTTTGCAGACACTTGACTCTCCACGCTCCAATGAAACAATTTATTACCAAAGCATAGTAGTGCCAAGAGTAGCAGGAAGGGTCCCCATGGAGGGGACTGGCTCACCTCCTACCGTGAGTTGGGGGTCTTCTCTGTCTACAACCCCAGTGGCTGGTGGGAGATGACAACTGAAAGGATGGGACAGTTGAACTGAGGAATTCACATTATCTGAAGCTTAACTGCTGGGTTCCCTGAGGCTAATCAAGACTGATTCATAGTGTGGTTTAAGCAACAGCAGGCATGTGCATTCGAGGGATCTTTCTAGAAGCATATCTGTGATACTACAGCAGGCCTTCAGTCACATTTCTTGCATTGTTTTTTTTTTTTCTATTTCAAACCTCGAGTCAAAAGTTCTGAAAGACAATAAAAATGGCTGTTAGTATCTTACTCATTCAAGGAGCACCAATGAAACCCCTACTGTGTGATGAACACTTTCTAGAGGTTGGTGATACTACCATGAACAAGAACAAGAACCTTTGTTGGACTTGGAAGAGGGGGTAGACACTACAAATTAAACACCCCCACTTCTTTCCAGAAGGGGATGAGGCTGTGTGGAAAACCAGTAGTGTGATGAGGGGGTGGGGAGGTGCCTCACGAGGGCAGTCAGGGAAGGCTCAGATCTGAGAGTCAATAATGAGAAGGAGCAAGTCATTCAAAGATGAAGGGAAAAAGTGTTCCAGACTGTGAGAATGGCAAGTGCAAAGGTCCTGAGGTGGGATCAAACTTGGCCTGATTTAGGATCTGAGGGGAAGATAGTGTGGCTGGCACAGAGTGTACAGGAGAGGTTGAGGGGAGGAGGGGAGGTCAGCCACACAGGCCCCCGGCAAGGAGCTTCCATAAAGCAGAAGTGGGATGAAAAGCAGAGGTGGGATGATCTTCCAGTTACTCCAAGGTCACCAGGTTCTTTGAATAGCATCTCCTCATTAAGTTCCTAACCTTGGGACAAACCTGCTATTGAGCAGACTTATTCAGTTTCAGATCCCAAACCACAAGGACCCTGAAAGGGGATGTTAGGTTCTGAGTTTTTTTTTCTTTTCTTTTCTTTCTTTTTTTTTTTTTTAGATTTTATTTACTTATTCTTGAGAGAGACAGAGAGACACAGAGAGAGAGAGAGACAGAGGCAGAGACACAGGCAGAGGGAGAAGCAGGCTCCATGCAGGGAGACCAACGTGGGACTCGATACTGGGCCTCCAGGATCACGCCCTGGGCTGAAGGTGGTGCTAAACTGCTGAGCCACCGGGGCTGCCCAGGTTCTGAGTTTTAAATTTTCCATTGCACCAGGCGGACAGGGAGGCACCGCAGGACCGGCCAGCACCCACAAGGAGACCTGAGTCTCGGTCTGTTAGATTTGGGTGGAGTCTCTGTGCAGCTGACCAGTGAGGGGCAGGTGGGATCCCACTAGGTGGCTATGACAGGTGACCTTGCGGTCAGCCACCCCCAGGGTGATCCTGGGAGAAGGGCAGAGGCAGAGACCTGAGGAGATGGGCAGGGGAAGCTGGCAACCTCCTGGAGGGATAGGGTGAGTGAGTGAGGGTGTGCGCAGGGTAGGGGGGGGTAGAGGTTTCCTGGACAGCTGGGGGACACAGCAGCTGTCTGCAGCACTGGAGAGATAGGCAATGGGCAAGCTGTGTGGGTAGAGTCATGTTTTCACTTTTAGAGAGTCTCTGTGCTGGGGGCCAGCTGTGTGTCATGGGGCATTGAGTGGCATCCCTGGCCCTCTACCCATTCAATGCCAGTGGCACCCTTTCCCGTCGTGACAACCAAAAGTGTTTCCAGACACCCCCTGGGGCACAACATGGCCTCCATCTGAGGACCCTTGACTTTGGACACTGAGCTTTTGATTCCAGCTAGCCACCAAGACCAGAAATTATAACTCTGTGGACGGAGGAGGGCCTGGGGGGAAGCTTCTCTTCAGAACACGTCCACAAAGCCTTGCCAAAATTAACTGTCAAATTAATTAGTTTATGTAGTCTTGACCTCCCCCCAACGTCTGTACACTCTCACGGGGGCTGATGGGAGGGCAGACAGGTACAGGGCTCCGATGGGGAGGCATCCAGTTCTCTCTTGCAGAATAAGAACCCCCTTCACAGACACACACACACCCACCCGAGTGAGGCCTGTGTACACAGGTGTTCAAAGCCACGCTGCTTGTAAAACAGATCCCCCACCCCCACCGGGGAAACCAAGCAAATGCCCAGCCACTGGTTCTAGAGGGTATCCTTCCAACCCACAAGGGAGTCTGGTGCTGCCATATACAAGGTTGTGGGCCACAGGGAGAGCAAGGTGGCACCGGGCACAGAGGCAGTGTGTTTGGTGGTGGGGTGGGGAGACAGGGAGTCAACTCGAAGGAAAGCAGAGGCTACAGGTGGTGGGATGGAGGGATGGAGGAATATTTCCTGAGGGCTGAAAGGTTCAAGAACCCTGTGGAAAAATCCAGTATCTAACTGGGAAGTTGGCTCTGGAGTAACCATTTAATGGCATCTGGGAGAGTGCATGGGTGGCTCAGTCTGTTGGGCATCTGCTTTCCCCTTGGGTCATGATCCCGGGATGCCAGGATCAAGCCGGCGGGCTTCCTCCTCGGCATGGAGCCTGACTCTCCCTCTCATCCCTGCTCATGCTCTCTTTCGCTATCTGTGTCTCTCTTAAATAAATAAGTGAAAAATCTTAAATAAAAAAAAAAGCATCTGGGAAAGCAGGGTTGGGGCCATGGAGGGCTATTAAGACTCACGAACTCCTCCCACTGGAACCTACCTAGGGTACCATCTGGAGGTCCACTGGGTCGTAGGCTGACACCCGCAGGTCCTGCAGCAAGGCTTTCAGATTGTTCCTCAGCATGACGTAGGGTGGCTTCTCATCATATTGGAGGGTCATCACCACCTTCATGTACTCCTGCAGGGTCTCTGTGGTCCAGATATCCCCATCACGGGAGAGGCCTGAGAGGGGGCCCAACCCAGAGCCTGGGGGGCTGTGCCTGTTTGCTCAGTGCTTCTTCTGCACCTGGAACTGCCTCAGGCACTTAGATTAAATTTTTTTTTTTTTTTGTAAAATGTCAAACCTATGCAACAGTAGAACAGTATCACCAGCACCAGCATACCCATCATCCAGTCTCAACAACTCACAGCTAATCTCATTTCCCCTCTGATATTGGTAAAGCAGAGGCCAGTTAATTATATCATTTTACCTATAAACCTTTAGTGTGTATCTCTAAAACAGGAGTCAGCCACTTTGAAGTGTCAGAGTGGTGGCACCTGGGTGGCTCAGTGGTTGAGCATCTGCCTTTGCTCAGGTCACAATCCTGGGATCTTGGGATGGAGTTCCCCATCAGGCTTCCCGCAGGGAGCCTGCTTCTCCCTCTGCCTCTTCCTGTGTGTCTCTCATGAATTAATAAATAAAATATTAAAAAAAAAAGTGCCAGAGGGTAAGCAGTTTTGGCTGTGTGTGTGTGTGTGTGGTCTGTGTACCACAAAAGCAGCCAGAGATGACAGTAAAGCCAGTGGTCAGGTTGTGAGGCCACACAGGTTTGTTTTACAGATGCTGTAGCCTCATTTTAGACAAGTTTCATGTACCATGAAATGTTCTTTTGATTTTTATGCCTCAGCTATTTTTTTTAAAGATTTTATTTATTAGAGAGAGAACAGGCAAGAGAAGGAGCAGCGGGGAGAAGAAGGAGGGGAAGGGGAGTGGGGAGTAGCAGGCAGAAGGAGGAGAAGCAGGCTCCCCATTGAGCAGAGAGCCTGATGACGGACTCGGACTCGATCCCAGGACCCTGAGATCATGACCTGAGCCAAAGGCAAATGCTTAAGTGACTGAGCCACTCAGAAGCGCCGCCAACACCACCCCCCCCCGCCCCCTGCCACAGCCATGGGCTTGGCTTAGAATGGCTAAGACTCAGGGAGCTAACCCAGGGGTTCATTCTTCAGCGCCCAAGAACCCAAGGCTGGAGGGAGGGGAAAGTGACTTGAAGAGCAGAGCCATAATCAGAACCCAGGATTTCAAGGTACCTAGAAAATGAGCCCTTACAGAGCGGGAGGAGACAAACTATCCGTTTCTTTCTGCCTCCTCTTTAGAGGGCAATGTGGAAGTTCTACAGAAGCGGCACTAGGAAAAAAATAAAAAGACAGTCTAAATCTCCAATCATGGAGATTTAAAAATCATGCTTTAGGGCAGCCTGGGTGGCTCAGCAGTTTAGCGCCGCCTTTGGCCCAGGGCGTGATCCTGGAGACCCGGGATCAAGTCCCGCGTCAGGCTCCTTGCATGGAGCCTGCTTCTCCCTCTGCCTGTGTCTCTGCCTCTCTGTGTGTGTCTCTCATGAATAAATAAAATCTTTAAAAAAAATAAAAATCATGGTTTAGTGGGGCACCTGAGGGGAGGCTCCTGCTCAGTGGAGAGCCTGCTTTTCCCTCTCTGCCCCTCCCCTCCCACTCATGCTCCCTTTCTCCTGCACTTACTCTCTTTCTAATAAATAAATAAAATCTTAAAATAAAAAGATGGTTTAGCCAAATCACGAATATTGTGCAGCTGTTTAAAAAAGGCTACAATGGATCTAGGAGTAAGAACACAGAAAAGCCAGTGTCGATCAATGGAAACAAGATGTTGACCAAAATGCATGTAAGGTGAGCCTATTTTCATTTTTTTTAATTTTTATTATTTTATTTTTATTTTTTTTAAATTTTTATTTATGATAGTCACACACACACACACAGAGAGAGAGAGAGAGAGAGAGAGAGAGGCAGAGACATAGGCAGAGGGAGAAGCAGGCTCCATGCACCAGGAGCCCGACGTGGGATTCGATCCCGGGTCTCCAGGATCACGCCCTGGGCCAAAGGCAGGCGCTAAATCGCGCTAAATCCCCTCATTTTTTTTTTTTAAATAACAGTTTTGTAAAAACAATGGTTTTGTAAAACAAAACCACGTGTGCATATATTTGTCTATGTTTGCTTCATACACAGAGGAAGAACTGGCAGCAGATTGTAGGGGTGAGGCTCCTCCCATCTCGGCGCTGTGTCCCTTTGCAATGTCTGCTGCTTCTCTCATCTCATGAGGTAGAGACAGATGGTCACCTGCTGAGTCAGAGTCAGCCTTGTGACTTGCTTGAATGTGGCAGAGTGATATCTTGGGACTCCTGTGCTCTGCAGCTTCCACTCATGTCCTTTTGGAAAGTTTTCCTAAGAGTGCTTTGTGAAGAAGCCCAGAGCTGAGGCCTCCTAGGCCTGCCAGTGACAAGCCAGTGCCAGTCACCAGATGGGAGAGGAGCACTTGAACAAGCCTGCCCCAGTCAAGCCATCGGATGGCAGCATCAGCATGAATAATTCCTCCTCCCTACTTACCCTAGGACCAGGAGAAAAATCACCAGGCAGGACCTGGCCCGTATTTCTATCCCAAAGAAATTTTCATAGAGAAATACAATTTTGTGTGTGTGGTTGTGTATGTGCATGTGTGCTGTTATTTAGAGACACTTCAGAATTTTGGGGTCAGGCAATATTTCCGTTTTCCTACGATGGGCATATATGCACATGGAGAGGCAATGCCAGGATGGACCCACGCCACCTGGTCCCCACCAAGGCCCTCAACTCTTCCTTTCCCCTTTCAGAACATACCTGAGGGACACATCCAGCGACTGCACTGTCCCACGAGGGTCTCTGGGTTGTCAAGAAACCTGACAGGACAGGGGCGTTTGCAAGATGTCTTTTAGGGAAGGGAGAGCAAACTTTTAAAGCAGAATGTCTAGCAGGTGTACAGTAGGCTCCTGTTATTTGGGGTCACTCTCCTGTAGTGTGGCCTCCGACACCAGATTAGTAAATGCTTTGAGGGGAAACATAGCATCAGGTTCCTGTGAGGTTCTGGTTACAATGTTTTCACTGTGATTTCAATTGATCATTACTGAAGTTTGTCTTCTGTGTGTTTGGGTTTAAAGATACTTTAATACACTGTTGATTTATTCACACTGAACTCACAGCTAGCAGCACTAGGACTCATACCTGAAGGAAATTCACAAACACAGGTATTTTCTCTGTAAGACACGTCTCAGCCTTCTTACACTTCAGGGACACTAGATAGCTCTTCAGCACCAAGTGTGGGACCTTTTAAAACAGTGAAATCACCAACAAAAAGCACAAAAATCTGGAAAATGTGGCTTTAAAAGGACTGCATAAAGGATCCTTGTTTACAATGTGAGATTTGCAATGAAAAGGCAGAGCATCGCCTTTTTCAGCCTCAGCTGGGACTGCATGCATCAGATGGCTCAAAATTTTCGCTACTCTGCGTGTGTCTGAGAATGATCTAGAAAGCACTGTGAATACTGATTCTGGTGAATTCACAAATACAGAATCTGTAGATAACTGAGGGTTGACTATCTTCCTTTTTATAGATGCACACATGTATTTGTACACACACACACACACACACACACACACACACACAAACCGTCTTGGTGGTCCACTCAAGAAAAATAGAAATTCATCCACTTCCCTTGCTCCGTCCTCACAGTCCCGGCCCACTGGTCCTCACGGTCCCAGCCCAATGTATCTTCTCTGGCCTGGACCACCGACCTGGCTCCCCACTCTCCACACAGTGCCTGGGTGCTGTCCTTGTCTCCTCCAACCCAGCCCAGAGGTCCCCAAGCTCCACCTTCCTGTTCCCTGACCCTCTCTGTCTAGTTCAGGCCTCATACTCTCTCCCTGGACCTCAGGCCTCCTTCCCAGTTTCCTGCGCATTCCCCACATGGCAAAACAGAGTTTTGATGCCTGGAACTGACTCTGTCCCTTCCTGCTCACAGCCCTCAAGGGACTCCCCAGTGCCCTGGGGAAAACCCCAAAACCCCCAGGATGCAGGGCTGCCAGTCCCTCTGAGTTTGTCTCTCTGACTTCCTCCTATTGTCATATGCTTGGGTCACACCAAATCCCTTCTGGTCCCCTATCTAGGTCAAGCATCCACCCACATCTCTTAGCTTTGGCACATATTGTTCCTTCTGCCCTGGACGGTTGTCGCCCATCTTGGTCCCCAGCAGGTGGCTGCTCTCCCTTCTGAACACTGCTCAATGGCTGATCGTAGTCCAAGGATGCCCTAAGGCAACTGTCAAGACACAAGATGGGCCAGGTCTGACCTTCCTCTCTCCTGGCAGCCTCAGGATATGTGTGGCAAATGGCTGAGTGATGGCACCCAAGAGCTGCACCCCTAGCATGCCATAAATTACATGAGCAACTCTACCACTGGCTGTTGGGAGGTGGGACCTCCCTGCCCAGCCTGCTGCTTTAAGAGCAGGGACCAAATCCCAGGGGCACCTGGGCTTTCCCAGAAGGGGATGGGTCCATCAGAAAGCCTTGGAGAATCAAAATGTCTCTCTTTTATTCATTCATTCCATTGTGAACTAGAATGTACGGAAACTGAACAAATGTTGAACAAAAAGGCAATGCACACCAGTAAAGATGACCCAGAGGCCAAGTTAGGGTTCCAGAAAATGTGCATGTGGCAACATCGCCCCCTCATGGTCTTTTGTGTTACTGCCTCAGGTCTTGGGCCGGAGGCTGGGTGGGGTGTGTATAATGAGCACCTCACCATGGAGAATCTTGAGATTTCCGACCTTCCCCCTCTGTGGTTGTGGTTGGGATCTGGGGCTTAGAAATGAACTGTTCCTCGCACTTAAATCATCTATATTAAGATTATTACTAAGACTTATCATATTTACTCTGCACTAATTTGGTAAGTACTTCTTCGGGAAGCACATCCTCTCATTGATGGTCTCTCTCCTGCGAAGCGGAAGGTGGCAGAGTTGTGAAAAGGGGGACAAGGCTGTTCTTAGGAGTGAGAGGAAGTAGTGGAAGCAGGATTCGACCTAGTGGAGCCTCAGTGGAGCCTCGATGGGTGATTTCGCTGATGACAAGTGGTGCCCTCAGTGGATCCACATCTGCGTCTCCAGCGTTTCCTAGCACAAGGGCTGGCACATAAATGCCCCCAGGGAATAGGTTCTGAACGGATGAGTAGTTCATGGATGTGCTATCCTATCTGCCTAGAAACATTGCCTCCCCTTGCCTGCCTGGGGAGGTCCTGTGCTCTGTACAGATTGGGTCAGGCATCTCTTGGATGAAGGCACCCAGTGGCTTGAGGCCAGGTAACCTGCCTCCCCTCCACTCCCACGATGTTTCTGGGGCTGCCTCCACTTTCAAGAGCAGCACCTACTTCTGCCCAGGTGTCTCCTCCCAGCCCAGGAACTGCCCGAGGCTGGGGCCATGTCTGTGTGACCTGTGTGTTCACACTGAAGCCCGGGCCTGTGAATGAAGGCTCATGCATGCTTTCCTTATTTTGTGAGTGCTCACTGTGAAATTTGACTGAAGGTGGCACCGTGGAGTCTCTACCTGCTGCCCACTGTCACTTGTGCCTTGTTAAGGGCAGAATCCCATGGGTCAGCAGCCCCAGGCTGGAGACATTTCCTAGCCCCCCCGCTGCAGCTGTGGTAGCTATGTGACCAAGAGATGCATGTCATCCCCAGTCCTGCCCTTCAGAAGCAACGAGAGATGGGGCCAGCAGAGCTAGCACCATAGGAGGATATATGCATGTTGGAGGGGCCAAGGCACTGTTCCTGAGCGATAAGTAAACATCTACCTCGTTTAATCTACTGTGTTTTGGGATCTCCTCATAAGAGCAGCTCAGCTTTGTCCGTAACCCAACAGAAGAGCATAAAGGAGCAGTTTGTAGGTTTTGGTCACACATAATGCTTTAGCAATTGAGCCATATGCTCCTATTGCCGGTGTTAACAATTCTGCGACTCATTTTCACCTGGCTTCATTTCAAAAATGTAAAGCTACTGGAAAAACTACAAAGTGCAAAAATCAATTCTGAGAAAATAGGGCAATGGGCTCATGTTCTGGTGGGTTCTGAGGCTGGCTTCTGAGGCAGAGGTTGCCTGTGGAAGCCTGGGAGCCAAGCGCCCCTCTCCTTATGTCTCTCCCTCCTGCAGAGACATCAAGGGCGTATCAGCGCCAAAGTGAGACATCCTCCTTGCCTCACTGCCCTTCTGGAGGGCAATTGTCATCTATCACCATTGCCATGAAACCTGGCCTAGCCATTAAATCTAAAGGAGCAGTGCATGCCTGTACCATGACAGTCACCCTGGGGGACACCTGAGTCTCCAACTCAACGGTCCCAACTAGTCTGGCCTGTGACATGCTCTGAAGAGACATTCACTCTGTCTCTTCACTGTCTGTCACCTCCACTAGGAGATGAGTTCCCAGAGGGTAGGGATGTTAGGCTCAGTTATTTCTGTCTCTCCAGGGACGAGAACAGAGTGTGGTACATAGAAAGTATTCAACAAGTATCTGTTGAGTGAAGGAAGCCTGCATCCAAGTGCCACCAGTCCATTTGTGATAAACCTCTCACCTGGCTTTGAGATGAAAGAGCCTTCCCTGGAGTCGAATGGTCTGGCTGAGTCTAAGCACCTCTACTTAGTAGCTGTGTGACTTGGCCTGTTTCCCTGGGTTTTCTGTGCCTCAATCATAAGAGCATTTACCTCAGAGTTGTTCTGAGGATGACACAGGAAGCACTGGGTGCAGTACTTGGCACAGATGAGTGCATGATACATGCTGGCCTTGAATAGGTCATTATGAGCAGGCCAGTGTGACCGGGACAGATCTCTTCCTCTGAGCACCACAAGCAGGTCACCTGGGAAGGGGATAACTGAGCAGATACCTGAAGAAGGATGAGATTCATGGCATGGTACCACTTGTGCCAATCAAATACACACCCAGCTGCAATATCACATATTTTCTATGGATCCAGATACATCCAAACAAATTCAGGAGCAGGATTTGGAGGCAGTGAACTTAGCAATGAAGTGAAAGATACAAAGTACAGCACTGGGTGAAAGGAAGCAGGAAACAGAATGAAAGTTAGAGCTCAGTACCATTTATGCAAATTAAATACACTCATCAGAGATTGTCCAAGGTCACAGATGTGTCTACATAAGCTTATTGAAAAGCAGTAGTTGGAAGCAGTAAATTTGATGCATGTGCAACGATGCAGTTAAAGTTGATGAACACGGTGCTGAGTGAAACAGCACCAGAAACAGTTGAGATTTAGAGCAGAATATGATTTATGCAGGTCAGACGCATACAGTGCCACCACCACCACACAAGTTCAGGATACAGATACACTTAAGCAAACATTATCAGTAGAATACAGATTGAGTTCATGGTTGAGAAAAAATGGTGGTGGTGGGGTATAAAAGGGAAAGAACAGAATGAGAGAGAGAGAGAGAGAGAGAGAGAGAGAGAGAGAGACCCAACATGAGCTAGTGACACAGCATAGAGAACTGAGCAGCATGAGGGACTCGATGCCATTCCCTGGAGTTTCCCCTTTTCCTACCAGGCACACTTTCCCTGGATATTCCCATTCTCTCCCAGGGCTTCTGCTGACAACTCCTGAGAGAGCAATTGAGGTCTGAATCTCCTTAGACGTCATTCCTGCACTTCAGACATGGATGGCCAACCACCTCCTAGATGGACCCTCCTGGATGACTCCTGGGAAACTCTTACCCCTGCCCCCAGGCTACACCAGATCTTGAATCCCAACTTCTGGGCTTGCAGGGCTTTGGGGGGTGGTGGTGGTGGTGGTGGTGGTGGTGGTGTCCTGCTGTCTCCTGCCCTTGGTGCTGAAGAGCAAAGTGCCTCTGGGCACTTCCTTCCCAACCCCGCTGCTCGCTGTCCTTGATACTGAATGTCTCTGCATTCAGCTACTCGTCTGCTGTCCTTGGTGTTGAATATCTAAACAAGAACTAGCAGGATCTGGTGGTTTTACAAGCAGAAGGCAGGAAAGGAAGTGTGGACACTGGTGGCTGGTGTTGCCACATGCTAAAGCAGGGCCCAGGCCTAACTGCTCACACTGGCCACTTGTCTGTGAAGGAATGAATCATGGTGTCCTGTGCATGGTTGAGTATTTTCTACAGGTCAGGCTCTGTGCTGAGTGCTGTGTACCTTATTCCCCCAAACCTTCCATAGACCTTAAGGTAGGTGCTAATAAGATCTCATCCCATGGGGAACACTGAGGCCTGTGGAAGTTAGACTTCCCTCCCAACACACTGCAGTGGCAGGGTTGGAGCCTGACCCCAGGCAGTGTGACTCCAGAGCCCATGAGCTTGTTTGCTGGAATGGATACTAGAGGACATGCCCGAGAACTGCAAAGGCTTTGGCTCTGCTGGACACTGCCTCCCCCTCCTTTTTGTTTCCTGCTGGGTTCTGAGCTTCTGCCCCACCTACGAGGGTGCCGGGCCAGTGCTGGGTTTTGTTGACCCCAAGACTCACTTCTCTTTCAGCTTCATGATATCTTCGATGTTGGGAAGGCAGTTTGTCCATGGCAGGATCCCGTAGAGCCACTTCAGCAAACAGTAGCCCAGGGTCTGGAGGTCACTGCGGCGGGAGGGCCCTGGTGAGGGAGGGCAGGTGGTGGCAGCTCAGTCTGAATGCTCCACTCACTGACACATCCACCCTCTTCCTTTCTCTCTCTGACTTAATGCACTCATGCACTCAACCATCCAAGCACACAAGCACTCACCTGTTTATTCACTTTTCATTTGCCTGCTCTTATGTTCTCATGAGTCTCTCAATTACTCTTGTTCACTCTCTCAGCCATGCCTACATTCCTGTTTTCACTAGTTTACTCCCTCATCTACTTGTCTTTCATTCATGCACTCATTCATTGAGTTCTCAGAGCTCTGTGCACCAGGCCCCATTCCACATTCTTAAATCCCAGACAAGAGTTTGGTTGGGTCCTTGTCCTTGACAGTCTCATGGTGACAGAGTATGGTGTGGGATTACCTGAGCAATGGGGTGGCAGAGCAGGGCATGAAGGAGCCCAGATAGAAAAAGGTAATGAAAAAAAAAATCTTTTTAAAAAAAGGGATCCCTGGGTGGCTCAGCGGTTTAGTGCCTGCCTTTGGCCCAGGGCGCGATCCTGGAGTCCCGGGATGGAGTCCCACGTCAGGCTCCCGGCATGGAGCCTGCTTCTCCCTCCTCCTGCTTCTCTCTCTCTATCATAAATTAAAAAAAAAAAAATTTAAAAAAAAAAGAAAAAAGGTAATGAAGACTGTGGGATTTTATTTTTTTATGCTTCCTGAATGACATGATTTAGACAACAATTCGTATATGCATTCAACTTCTCAGTCAGCACTGAGAGTTGACTGTACCAGAACTTCCACCACTTGATGCTGGAGGCACAGGTGCCAGGCCACCCCTTCCCTGTGGGAGCTCAGTCTGGTGGGAGGACATGGGTAGGCATGTGGATGGCCATGCTATCAAAGGATCTGGGAAGGAGAGGCTGAGATCTCAAGGAATCTTCTCCTCAAAGTACTCTCTTCTTACTCTGTACACTTTCTTTGGATAATCTCATTCCTCTCCCAGAGCTTCAGCTGACAACTCCTGAGATACTGCCGATATGTGGGTCTCTGTCCAGACTTATTCCTGTGCTCCAGACATGGATAGCTAGTTGTCTCCTTGACAGTCTCTCCTGAATGACTCTCCAGAGTCACTGGGCAACTCTCAAGTTCCAAGTCTAAACCAGATCTTGGATCTGAACCCCTGGACATGTGGAACCTCCTTGTGTCCAGCCGCTTGCTGAATGGTCCTTGGTGCTGAATGGCTGCCCTACAACTCCCTAATGCAGGCTATTCATGGTTCTGAATCCCTATTATAACTCCCTTAGTGTGATTCCTGTGTCTGGCCACCTTCTGTCTGTGGCTACAAAAACCAAGCGTGTCTCCTTGGCCCCGAATCCCTCCTCTGGACTCTTACCGCATCCCTTGTGCAGGTCAAGGCTAATGAACTCGAGATCCCCCTCATGTGGGCTCCTGCTGCCTTCCACATATGCCACATGTTTGCCTCCAGGGGCATAGCGGAAGGTGAAGCCATAGCCGGCCAGCATCACCTGTGGACATGTGGAGAAGCCATACAGTTTGGAGCTTAGGAGCCAGAGATTTCAATCATGGGCGCAATTTGAAGTAACTGAATGCCAAACAGTACAGAAGGCTGTGAAGTACAAAGAACCCAACCCAAACCAACCACCCCCAGCCCACAACCCACCACTCAGAAGTAACCACAAATAATCGTTTCTTATGCCTTGTTTCAAATAGTTTTCTTTGAATAACTGGTAAACACACATGGATGCAGAAGGGGCTCTAAGTTTTTCACAAAGAGATCACACTATACCTCTTCCTGGGCACCTAGTTTTTTGCACTGTAAAGTTTATTTATTTTTAAAGTAATCTCTCCACACTCAACGTGTGGCTTGAACTCAACCCCAAAGATCAAGAGTTGCACGTTCTTCTGCCTGAGCCAGCCAGGGGCCCCTGCACTTTTTTTGTTTGTTTGTTTTTTAAAGATTTTATTTATTTATTTGAGAGAGAGACAGAGTGATGGAGAGAATGAGCCCAGAAGGAGAGGGTGAAGTCGATTCTCCACTGAGCAGGGAGCCCAACTCGGGGCTCAATCCCAGGACCCCGGGATTATGACCTGAGTGGAAGGCAGTAGTTTTACTTACTGAGCCACTCAAGTGCCCCAAGGGCCTCTGCACTTTAATAGTGGTTCCAGGCATTAAAATTTGGAGTCAGATAGACTGGTTCAGCCCTGTCTGAAGCCAATGAAGTTCTGGATTTTCCCACTCAATGGGCCAATAATTTGCAACACGCCCTTAAACATTTTTTTAAAAGCCATGTTAAATTGGGCTTCTCCTATTTGCAACTGAAAAAGTAATTAGAATTACTTCAAAACGCTATTTAATCAGTATCCTACCAATAGTTTAAGGTTTTCCCATTTGACTATTACAATCAATGCTGTCAGAAGCGTTTTGTACATACATCTTTCCACATTCCTGTGAATATATGGATAGGACACATTCCTAAAAGAAGAACTGGTGGATCAAAAAAAATATATATATACATTTAAAATTTTGACTGCTATATCCAAATTACCTTCCAGAAAGGTTGGCCAATTCACACTTCCAACAGCATATAAAGAATTTCTGTTTCCTTACATCCTTATCAGCAACAGATACCATTCTTTTTAAGTTTTGCCCATCCCTAAAACCGGAAGATTTAATTTTCATTTCTATGATTACTGTATTAGTTAGGGAGCCTGAGCATCTTTTAACACATTTAACTGACCTGTGGATTTCTTTTTCTATGAACTGCTTTTCCCATCCTTTGTCCATTTTTCTACTAAGTTGCTTATCTCTTCTTATTTATTCAAAGGAGCCCTTTATATACGATGGATAGCGATTCTTTACCTGAAGTAAGCTTTGTGAAATACATGTAGATTTTGAGGTGGATGAGATCCTGAGCCCAGAGAGCCCCTATTACCTGGCTCAGATCCTCTGGATTCACAAAGATGTTCTCAGCTGTCACATTTCCATGGACATATTCATTCTCATGGAGGAACTCGAGGGCATCCAGCTGGGGGAGAAAGCAGCATCTCCATGAGTAGCATAATGAATACAAAGAGACTCTGAGGCAAAGCCTGGTGAAGGAACCTCCAGTTAGGCCTGAGGTCAGGAGGCACTATTTGTGATTGAAGATTGCTCATCTCCTCAGGCCTGTCCTCTCATGCCAACCTCACCCAGCCTCCTTATCACCCCCTCCAGCCCATCCCTATGTGGCCCACAGGGTCTATCTGTATCCAGAGCTGACCCTGCCCCTCTTTTGCTCCCAATCCTCCCATAGCTCCTTACTGCCCTCAGGACAGAGTTCCAGATCCTCAGCTTGGTGTTCTGTGCAATCTGGTCACTACTGACCTTTCCATCCCAATACGACCTAACCCTTTCCGTCACGCATGTCCCACAGCAGACGTCCTTAGCACAGAAGCTTTGGGGATAAACCTAATAGGTCGCTGACTGGCCACTTCCATCTCTCCAGCAATTTTAATTGGGTCCTCGTATCCTCCATCATAGTAGAGGGACACTTCACACTTCTATTCAGGAAACTTTTTTTTTTTTAAAGATTATTTATTTATTTATTCATGGGAGACACACACACACACACAAAGAGAGAGAGAGAGAGAGAGGGAGAGAGAGAGAGAGGCAGAGACACAGGCCGAGGGAGAAGCAGGCTCCATGCAGGAAGCCCGATGTGGGACTCGATCCTGGGTCTCCAGGATCAGGCCCTGGGCTGAAGGCAGTGCTAAACCACCGAGCCACCAGGGCTACCCTTCAGGAAACTTTCATAGCTTGTGAAACTGTTAAATTTAGTATCACCCTCTTCCAGTAGACATAAAAACCATGTCTATGTTACTCCCAGCACCTGGGACAGTGTCTGATGCCCAGCAGCGATTTGATAAATATTTAATGAAGGGATGAATGAGTGAGAGAATAAATCAATGAACAAATGCCTCAGTCTCCCTCTCCTATACAAGTCTGAGCTTACACTGTATCCTTGGCCTGGAATATTTTCCTCATGTATCTCCACTCCCACCCCACCCAGCATCCTGCTATTTCTTTTTTTCTTCTTTTTAAAGATTTTATTTATTTATTCATGAGAGACACATAGAGGCAGAGACATAGGCAGAGGGAGGAGAAGCAGGCTTCATGCAGGGAGCCCGATGAGGGACTCGATCCCGGGATTCCAGGATCATGCCCTGAGCCAAAGGCAGATGCTCAACCGCTGAGCTACCCAGGCATCCCAACACCCTGCTATTTCTCACTCATAGTTTAGAAACAAACTCCACCAGAAAGCCCGATGAGCCCCTCATTTTGAGGCTGGGGCCCCTTCCCCCAACTCCCACATGCAAATACTTGTCACTTTGGTTCTAATGGCCTTGTGTTCACCTGTTCCGGTCAAGTGCCAGCCCCCAGTGTCCAGCAGAGGGAGGCAGGCGCTGAATGTGTCAATGAACAAGCCAATTGAGAATCTAGGACCCAGTGTGCCATTCCCTGGACGGGAGCCAGCAACTTTTGGATACATACCAGCCGGCAGGCCATCTGGAACACACACCTCACTGACATAACATGCTTTGGGCTGTCATCCAGGGCCGACTGAAGGCTCCTCCCCAGGATGGGAAACACCAGGAACCTGGAAGACAGAAGTGTCCCAGGAGGTGGGAGAGATGACCGGGGAGGGGGCAGGATACAGGCCAGCACGGATGGACTCTGGCTGGGGGGCAACGAGGTCCTGGCCCTGAGCGAGATCAAGGGTTCTTGATCATTAGGGGATCTGCCTGGCTCAAAGCTGGGGAGAGGGAAGCAAGTGAATGGCCATGTGACAGGGAGAGAAAGAAAGGGACCAGCCAGGTGGCTAGCAAGTGAATGAAATCACCTGTATTTGTCCTGGTGAACGCCAAAACCAACACAGGTGGGGATGGCCAGGAGGGGGACTGAGTTCAGCTTCTTCCACTTGTTCACTGTGGGAGGCAGGGAAGTGAGAGGTTAGAGCCCAGGTGGTCCTGGGGCCCATAGCCCATTCTCAGAGCAGAAGCAGAGTGTGCCTGAGCCCAAGTCAGACCCTTAGTCTCCTGGTTGGAGACACCACTTCTGCAGGCAGGTGACAGCAGGGTGGTGACAGAGCGCTCCTCATTGACCTCTGCCTGTAATCTTTATCTGCAGGTGACAGGGGGTGAACAAGGCTGAAAGCATATACAAATCTGGAGTGGAAGGGGTAAGAACAGAGGGACCTCTGAATTCACATGTATAACTAGTAAGATCAGGAAATGTCTCAACTGGGCATGGTATCACTAGAGGTCTGTGCCCTCTTCCTGGGTCTCAGTTGGATGGAACAGATCCAGTGGCATGCTCATAAAAGTTTAATGGCCATCTGTCCAGGGAAAATAGCCCTGATTGGTAGGGTTTGCCAATTTTTGTGGTAACAATACTTCCCACCATGGTCCATTTCAGGCCACTGATCCTATATCACGGAGTGTGGAGCTGGAAGAGATGCCAGCGCATCATCATATAGTATTTTCACCAAACATACAATGGATGTAAGCAATGGATGAGGTCTGTGTTCCAGATGGCCTGCCGGCTGGTATGTATCTAAACAAACAATTAGGAAGTGATGAGTTTGGGGTGTGTGGGTGGCTCAGTCAGTTCGGTGTCTGCCTTTGGCTCAGGGCATGGCCCCCAGGTCCTCAGATCAAGCCCTGAGTCAGGCTCCCTGTTCAGTGGGGAGCCTACTTCTCCCTCTTCTCCCTGCTCATGCTGTCTCTTGCTCTTTCTCTCTCAAATAAATAAAATCTTTTAAAAAAGTGTTAAAAAAGGAAGTGATGTTTTGAGTACTTATTCATTATTTTTCTTAATCTACTTGATTATAAATTGATGGAATTAATTTTATTTTTATTTTTTTAAAGATTTATTTATTTATTTTATTTATTTATTTATTCATGAGAGACACACGCAGAGAGAGGCAGAGGCATAGGCAGAGGGAGAAGCAGGCTCCATGAAGGGAGCCTGACACGGGACTCGATCCTGGAACTCGATCCCGGGACTCCAGGATCACGCCCTGGCCCGAAGGCAGGTGCTAAACCACTGAGCCACCCAGGGATCCCCGATGGAATTAATCTTAAATAATGACTGTTTAGCAACTGCCTTGCAGTCCTTCTGAAAATTTAACACTTGGCTCTCCAGAGCTGGTACATATAACCAGCCTCCACCCGTGTTGTCTGTCCTCTGAGGCCTGAGGCCCAACGGGTGACAGGGCACATACCTCTGGGCCTGTGATATCATGCCCATATTTCTCACACCTTCAGAGGCAAGCTAGTTGTTCTGGCCAAGCTAGTATCCCTAACTCTCTTCCCTTTGCCCATTTCCCTGCAAAATACCTTGCAAAGGCTTGGCGGCCCGCTGGAAGAAGTTCTGCTCATTGAACAGGCGCCCATCCTTGGCATCCTAGTTGGGAACGGCAGGGGGAGAAGGCTGTCACAGTGGAAGCTCTTTGGCAAGGGCTTCCAGGACATCACTGGCCATGCATCACCCCGGGTTAGTGCCAGCAACCACCACCATGACCCCCACATCAGAACCAAATCCCCTAGGGTGCTTCATGTGACCACATGATCTCCCACTACCCAGATTCCTCTTCCTTTATGAGAGGATTCACAAATTTCCCTAGACATGTGGTCTTCAGCTAAAAACTACATTTCCCAGCCTCTCTTGTGGCGAGGAATGACCCTATCGCCAATTTCTGGCCCACAGATGTAAGCAGAAGAGATGTGAGCAACTTCCAGGTTATGCCCTCAAAGGGCTGCGCAGGCTCTCCCTTTCCTCTTCTGTTCCAGTTGGCTGAAATGTAGAGGACATGGTAGGAGCTGGGGCAGCCACCTCAGCCCCTGAAATGGAGTTTATATACGACTAGTACAGCTGGCTTCTTAAGAGCACTGGGCTAAAGATTTAGCTAGGTTTGAATCTCAGCTCTGCCATTCATTCCTTCTTCCTATAAAGCACCTATTATGTGCTGAGCATTCTACCGGCATTGGCGATACAGCAGTAAACAAAGCCACTTGCATGCTGGGTGTCTCTGGGCAAGTGATCAAGTCCCCATTTTCTCATCTGTTAAATGGGAGAACAGAGTAACTATCTCACAGGCTTGCTTGTGAGACTCCTAGCCCAGCACAGGCACGGAGCAGGCTCTCAACAAGCAGGTGCTATTACTCATCTGTGAGCCTGGCTCTGGAGCCCACTTGCATGGCCTCTGTCTAGGGCTAGGGAAGGGCACTGGGACTGGCTGCCCTGTTTTCTAGGGGTGAGCAAATGTGAATAAATGAAGGGAAGAAAATAAAAGTCATCTGTCAGTTCAGCTCTTAAGGATAATGATGATGAGGCTACTAACCAGGACAATATCCTTTCATTGGGCTCTTCCTCTGTGCTGAAGGACACGACTCATCCGCCTTGGTTGCTCTCACTTTCTTGGTTTGTTTTTCCCTTTTGGGCCCCCCTCGGGTGCATGTTTCCTGCATGCTAGGGTTGTGTGTGATTTCACAGGGACCACCCTTCTGATTGCTTGTCTGATGGACCCCAATACCCAGCACAGTGATATACGGTGGGTGCTCAATAAACACAGGACACAGACAGGTAGTGGGCAAGGGGGCCACACATTATGGCTATTAGTGGTTCCCTCACACAGATGAGGAAACTCTGCCCCAGGGGGGAAGGCACTTGCCCGGGCTGCACAGCCAGACAGCACCAGAACCAGGATTCATGGCAGACCTCACTGCAGCTTCCCAGGCCCCCTCTGATAAAGAAGCTGAGGCTGGAGGGAGATGTGCCCCGCCCAAGGGCACGGACCCCCTTGCAGGCCCAGGCCGGGCTCTCCTGCCTACGCCAGTCCTCACAGGGGCTTGGAGGTCAGTGGTGCCCAAGCCCCGGGCCCTCCCCCTCTTGGCACTGTCCCCAGGGACACTCACGAGTTTAAGCGAGAATCTCTGTTTCTGACTTGACTTGCAGGCGATGGGGGAGATAGGCTCAGCTGTGAGTGGACAAAATGAGCAAGGTTATAATCTACAGGGAAGGTGAGAGTCACAGGCCTCAAAATCCCAGCACTTCTGGTTCTCTGGCAGGGTCAGAGAATACTCGACCTCAGGGCTTTCAGAATTCCTTCCTTCCTACTTCTGAATAGGTTCTTTTTTTTTTTTTTCTTATTAACATTCAGCTACATAAAAAGGGTTATTAACAAGAACGCCTGACTTCTCTCCTTGAGAAGGCTTGCTTGCATGGGTGGTCTGTGACTGGTGTCTGGGAACCTGGATTTGCGGAGGGTGCCAGCATTCTCTAACAGCAAGAGAGGCCCCCAGTGCCCAAACTCTTATGCTGAACAGCTGCTTTCCTTCTGGGTGTCTAGAATGTTGGTATGTTCCAGGCAGAGTGTGCCTATGTGATCAGCTCCCAGGAGAAACCCTAGCTGCTGAGTCTTTCAGGAATGGCCTTGGTAGAGGACATTTCACACCTGTTGTCATTTCTTGTACATCCTGCATCTCCCTGTGACTCCACGGGGAGAGGACTCTTGGAAGTTTATGCTCCCCTGGACTTTCTGTGTCTTTCCCTCCTTTGCCTGTGCTCTGTGTCCTTCTGCTGTAGCAAGTCATGGCATGAGAACAAGTACACGCTGAGGCCTGTAGGTCTTTCTTGTGAATAACTGAGTCTGGTGGGATGGTCCTGAGGACCCCCAACACATCAGCTATTTGCATTTGTCTACATGTTTGGGTGAGCACCGTGTGACGGATGCAGATCCCCCCTGTGATAAAGGACTTGCCACTGGGGGAGTGCTGTCACAGGTAGCCTTCAGCCCCTCAGGGATCCCCTCAGCTGCAATTCTGGGGCAGCCCATATCCATTGGTGATCAAGGAGGATATAAAGGCCCAGCTGTGTTGGCCTGACACAACCATGCTGGAAGACCACTTCCACCCCAGAGCCCCCATGGGGCCAGCTGAGGCTATTGCGGGGCTGCACCCACCACTTGCTTCCTTCCTCCCCTCTACCTTGTAAACACCTGCATGTTTGTCCCTTTCTGCTCAGTTACAAACTTCATGCTAAAGTCATCTGGGTGGCTCAGTCAGTTAAGCGTCTGTCTTCAGCTCAGGTCCTCGGATTGAGTCCCAGATCGGGCACCCCATTCAGCAGGGAGTCTGATACTCCCTCTCCCTCTTTTTTTTTTTTTTTAAGATTTTATTTATTTATTCATGGGAGACACAGAGAGAGAGGCAGAGACACAGGCAGAGGGAGACGCAGGCTCCTCACAGGTCAGATAACTAGCTGTCAGCAGAGGCAGGAAGATAGCCCATGAGGTCTGGCTGCGCTCTCCCACCTCCCCAGAGAGAGAGTTTGCTGGGGACCCAGGCACCCTATGGCCCCTTCTCACTGCCAGCAATGCCAGGGTCCTGATGTTTCCCACTCCCGTTCCTGGGTTTCTAGGCTCTATGCCTTTGCCTATGCCCCACCTTAGCTTCGCATGCCCATCTCTACCCCAACCTCTTTGTCGCAGGGCTGGTTTGAAAGGTGCCTAATAAAATTGTAGCACTGGGGTGCCTGGGTGGCTCAGTCAGTTGAGCATGTGACTCTTGGTTTCAGCTCAGGTTGAGGTCTCAGGGTCATGGGGTTGAGCCCTGCTTCAGGCTCCACGCTCAGCAGGGAGTCTGCTTGAAATTCCCTTTCTCCCTCTTCATCTGCCCTTCCCCAGTTTGTGCTCTCTCTCTCTCTCTCAAATAAACAAATAAATCTTTAAAAAAAAATCATAGCACTTCCGCCTGATAGTTACCAACTGATGGAGTCTCTCCCTAGCTGGAGGCATGTTTGGGATGCCCTGACTCAGTGGTTCTTAATCACAACCAGTGGGCATCTGGCAGTGTCTGGAGGTAGTTTTGGTTGTCATGATGAGGGGAGGAGGTGTGACTAGCATATCTAGTAGCTTCTCTAGTGGCGTCTACTGGTTCTCCCAAATTGTTCCCAGGAGACAGGGAGGATGACGTTGTAACTTGGGAACTGACAAGGAAGAGTGCCCACTTATAGCACTGTAGGACTAAGGGATAAGATGAGCCGACTGGTGGTGTGAATTTAGGACAGGGTACAGAGTGGCTAAGACCATCTGTGGCTATTTAAAAAAAAAAGATTGCAATTCTGGTTGCTGTTGTTGTTTCACTGTGATTGTTTTTAACTACAGGACATAAAACCCCACCACTTCTTGACTGAGGAAAACTGGTCAAGGAGAAAGGTGACATGCCTGTGGGTAATGCTGCTGCTGCACTCCACGGCCCTCACCAGTCCTGCTGCCACCTCTCTGACAGTGGTCCCTGTCCCGCTGACACTTCCAAATCAGAGACTTCCTATCAAAATCCAGATTTCTGGCTCTTCCTGAATACTTGGAAGACCTCTGGAGCCAGATCTCTGGCTAGTTATTAACAACTCTGGGATTCGTTTTCCTCATCGAGTACAATGTGGACATCCACCACGAGTTAGGAAGTACAAAGCAAATACATGGCCACATGGAAACACAGATGTTCACAGCAGCACTAGTCATCATGGCCCAAAGTGGAAACAATCCACACCCCCACTGATTGGTAAATGGAGAAGCCAAACATGATACACATACACCCAGGAGTATTACTCTGCCACAAGAAGTCCTGAAACATGCTATGATGTGGATGGACCTTGTAAACATCATGTGTAGGGAAAGAGAGACACAAAATCTGAAACGTCCACGATAGAGAAATCTAGAGAGACAGCAGATTAGTGGTTGCCCAGGGCTGGGAAGAGGGGGATGCAGAGTGAGTGCTTTCACACATGGCTTCCTTTAGGGGTGATGGGAATGTTCTGGAATGAGATACAGGTGAGAGCTGCACCATGAATGGACTATAGCCCATTGAACCACAACTTTATTATTATTATTATTTTTTTATAGAACCGCAACTTTAAAATCATCAATTTCATATTTTGTAAATTTTATCTCAATTATTTTTTTAAAGATTTATTTATTTATTTATGATAGACAGAGAGAGAAAGTCAGAGACACAGGAGGAGGGAGAAGCAGGCTCCATGCTGGAAGCCTGATGTGGGACTCGATCCCAGGACTCCAGGATCGTGCCCTGGGCCAAAGGCAGGCACCAAACCGCTGAACCACCCAGGGATCCCCAATTTTATCTCAATAAAAAAAAAAAAAAAAAAAAGCTTCCTACAAAGTGCTTAGAACACAGAGTGGCCTTGAATAAGCACTCGATAAACATCAGGTTGGTTAATCTAACACTTCCACCCCAGTTCTTTTTTTCTTCATTGTAACAGGTGTCTGACTCCATTGTTTAAAGCTTGATGATGCCAGCTTCTTATTTATTTATTTATTTATTTATTTATTTATTTATTTATTTATTTATTAAAATACAAAGTGCTTAGAACACAGAGTGGCCTTGAATAAGCACTCGATAAACATCAGGTTGGTTAATCTAACACTTCCACCCCAGTTCTTTTTTTCTTCATTGTAACAGGTGTCTGACTCCATTGTTTAAAGCTTGATGATGCCAGCTTCTCATTTATTTATTTATTTATTTATTTATTTATTTATTTATCTATCTATCTATTTATTTATTTATGATATTCACAGAGAGAGAGAGAGAGAGAGAGAGAGAGAGAGAGAGAGAGAGAGGCAGAGACACAGGCAGAGGGAGAAGCAGGCTCCATGCATCAGGAGCCCGACGTGGGATTCGATCCGGGGTCTCCAGGATCGCGCCCTGGGCCAAAGGCAGGCGCCAAACCGCTGCGCCACCCAGGGATTCCAATGATGCCAGCTTCTAAGCTGGATCCTGCCTCTTCCCCTCTGGTCCCACACCTGGGCAGGCTGGTGAGCAAGCGTGGGGACTCCTTCCTTTGCTGTCGGTGGGAGATGCAAATCATGGGAGCCCTCGCCTTATCCCTTAACCAAATAAAAACCCACACCAGGTGCCTTTCCTTCCTCTCCTCAATGAAGGTCAGGCCTGCTCTCCCCAGAGACCTCAATTATGTGAGCAATTAGTTGTTCATAGCCTCCCTCTCCACTCTCAACATTCAAACCAAATTTTTTTGGGGAAAGGGATTCCACACCACCACTGCAAGATAGATAGAACCTTCATCTTCATCCTTATCATTCAGCCACACGACAAAGGCAGAGATGGAGTTCCTCTTTACACAGGGCGCCTGCTTTCCAGCTGGCCACAATCCCCACCATTCCCGATGGCTCACACTCAGGCTCCTGCACACAATTGTTCTACCTGCCCAGCCCCCATGGGTAGGGGTAGCTTGGCAGTCTCAATTCTAAGAGAAAGCTGTCTAGAGGCATGTCTGCACTGGGGAGGTGGCTTCCACTTCCATTCTCAGAATCCTCCCCCTGACCTGGCTTGAAGACACCCCCGCCCAGCCCAGCGGCTGTCCACCTGTGGATGGCGTACCTTCATAAAGAATGCCCTGGTTGTCCCTGGTCTGGAAGGATGCCAGGATCCATTGCCTCCCACTCTTGTCCGTCACTACCGTCCTCGTGGGCAAAGCCTCAAGCGAGGCAGTCACCCGGCTCCGCTTCAGTGTCTGAGGGCTTTGCCTGGTCATCTGTGGGCTTCGCTTGGTTGTCTGTGGGCTACTTTGGGGGGTTGAGGATATACTCCAGGACCCTGTGGGAGGATGGTCAGAATAGAGGAAAAAAGCAGCATTCGGGAAAGAAAAGTTAGGTGGGTAATAAGACAATGCTCATCATACTGTTAGTTTATTCATTTGTTCATTCAACACATGCTTCTTGGAACCTTTCATAAGCAGGTCCTTGTATGTGAAAGCTGGAGATCCAGACATGAGTCAAACCTGGGCCCTTCCCTTGGGAGCCCATAATTTGGTGGGGGAGTCTACCCTGGACACAGCTGGTCAGAACTGAGTCTGAAACAGGGCAGTAAAGAGGAATATGAGAAAGAGACTGACAGTGCCTCAAGAAGTCAAGAGAGGCTTCCTGGAGGAGGGGACATTTGGGTTGGGTCTTTTTGGATAAGCAGAAGTTTATCAAGGGGAAAAAAGACATTCCCGACATTCAACCCCAAATATCCTGAAATAGGACTGGCCTTGTGTTGAGTACAAGGAAGTTTCAGAAATTTGTCAGACAGAGGCCTTGCCCTTGACAGGCTCCCAGGTTGGCAAGAGAATGGGATGGCATGGTGAGGAGACATGAACATAGGAAAGGATATTACCTACTCCATTCCTCCCACCCACCATCCACCCAAGGCACAGAATGGCAAGAGGCTGTGGGGCCTGGAGGATGACAAGGGACTGAGGGGAGACACCAAGGGCTGAGGCTTTAGATCCAAGGGTCTACTGGGAAGGAGATGGGCACATGGTCCTCAAGACTGCCATGCTAACTGGCTGGCACAAGGCCTATGCAGATGAGTCTACCTGGTCCCTGCCCGTGCAGGACTCCCAGTCCAGCAAGTGGGGCAGAAAGGACAAGGGTCCAGGCAGGGTAGGGGGTGCCTGAGCAGGGGAATGAAGCCCCAGACTGTCTGACACCTGCCTTCTCCCCATCTAGTTGGGCCAGGTTGACCCCAACTCTCACCTGTGGGTCTCATGGTATCTTCAGACCCAGAACTGTCACCATCTGAGAAGAGGGATGATGAGGGGGAGGTGACAGAGCTGGACCATTTCACTTTTTTGGAGGGGGTTTCAGGACTGGTGTTGTTCTGTCTCCTTGAGCCTAGAGGAAGGAAGACTGGATGCAGACTAGGGTTGCAAAGGCTTTTTCCAGGAATCTCTAAACCAGGAACCCTGAGGGTGGATTAGACCACTCTCTTCCCTCTGATCCCTGGAGCCAAGCCTTGCTTCTCTTGTCATCTAAATATCTAAGCAAACTGTCCCTTCATTTTAGTTATTTTTTTTCCCTCCTTGGATCTTGGCCTCTCTTGTGTATCTTCTATCACTTTGTCACTCTGTTCTCTTCTAGGCAATTTCTTCAGACCTACCTTCCAATCCATTAATTCTCTTTTTAGCTTTGTCTGGTCAGCAGTTAAACCATCCAACAAGTTTCTGGTTGTCATGATGGTGTTTGTGTTTATCATTATAGGTTTGATTTGGTTCCTTTTCTTTTTCTTTTTTTTTTTATTGGAGTTCAATTTGCCAACATATAGCATAACACCCAATGCTTATCCCATCAAGTGCCCCCCACCAGTGCCCATCACCCAGTCACCCCCACCCCCCGCCCATCTCCCTTTCCACCACCCCTTATTCGTTTCCCAGAGTTAGGAGTCTCTCATGTTTTGTCTCCCTTTCTGATATTTCCCACTCATTTTTTCTCCTTTCCCCTTTATTCCCTTCCACTATTTTTGATATTCCCCAAATGAATGAGACCATATAATGTTTGTCCTTCTCTGATTGACTTATTTGGTTCCTTTTCAAATTGATTTGGTTCCTTTTCAATTCTAACTAATATCTGCTTCTTCATTATATTTTTAATTTCTTCTCTTATTTCTTTAAACATATTAAATGTGTTTTGGACATATTCTCATCTGTTAATACTGAGGTCTCTGGTCATTGTGGGTATGATTCTATAGTTTGTTGTTTATCCTGACAGTGGCCTTTTCCTGGTGTCTTTTGATTGATTAGGAGCTCCTGGTCCTGTGGGAATTATCTAAGGCAGAGGGAGAAGGAGAAAGAGAATCTTAAGCAGGCTCCATGCCTAGCATAGAGCACGATACTGGCCTCCATCTCATGACCCTGATACTATGCCCTAAGCTGAAATCAAGAGGCAGACAGTAAACTTACCAAGCCATCCAGGCACCTGTTTAACATCTGTCTTTAAAGGGTGTTTCCCAAGAGAAGGCTCACCTCTGCTGGGGAGGGGCACCCACACCTCATTGCTTTATACTAACTTTCCCATGTAGGTTTTTCTGGGAGGCTACACAGATCATATAAATTCTGGACCCAAACTGGTAAGGATGTGAGTTCTTGGTTAGGAATTCTCAGAGAGGACATTCTTCCATCTTTCACCCACAATCGAGGCTGAGACAGACAAATAAATAACTTCAGCAACCTTTTCCGCGGAACATTTTTTTGTTCTGGTTTACCCACTGAAGAGTCCAGATTTTCAGTTTTCCAATCTCACCTCTTGGACTGCTCAGGCCCTAAGCTTTGTCTCTTATGCTCCACTAAAACCCAGGCTTGGGATGCCTGGGTGGCTCAGCGGTTGAGTGTCTGCCTTTGGTTCAGGTATGATCCCGGGGTACCAGGATCAAGTCCCACATCAGGCTTCCTGCATGCAGCCTGCTTCTCCCTCTGCCTATGTCTCTGCCTCTCTCTCTGTGTATCTTTCATGAATAAATAAATAAAATCTTAAAAAAAAAAAAGCAGGCTTGAAACCACCAGTGACTGGCAAACAGTCCAGGACCACCATCATCAACAGGACTCAGAGTGATAGGAACCACTAAGCCCTACTTTTCAAAAAAAGATACCTTTCATATTTTATCCAGCATTTTGTGGTGTGCTGAACCATAAGGGGCTTTTGCCTATCATTTAGTCTGCCATATTACTAAAAGCAGAAATCTTTCAGTTGTCACTAACTTAGTTAGTGTGGTTGGTTCCTGGTTGGAATGAATGGCCTCCTGACTGGTTTTCATACCTCTGATCCACTTTCCTCCTCCTTTCTTTCTCTCTCTCTATAGAGTGCATGTGAGCAGGGGGAGGGGCAGAGGGAGAGGGAGATAGAGAATCTTAAGCAGGTTCTACACCCAGAGTGGAGCCTGATGTGGGGCTCAATCCCACGACCCTGAGATCATGGTCTGAACTGAAACTAAGAGTTGGGCATTTAAGTGACTGAGCCACCCAGGCAACCCCACTTCTCACTTTCTAGAGAGGTCTTTTTATTATGCAAATCATATTGTATCTCCCACTTGGTAGAAACCCTTCACAGCTCCCCACTACATCAGTGATTCCTGAACTCCTTGCCCATGGTCTACATAGCCCTTGGGTGTCTGCCCCAGGCGAGATGTCTTTCTTTATTTTTCCAACATGTATGGCTCCTCCCATTTCATGGCCTTTCCCTTTATCATGTCCCAATGCCTGAAACTCTTATGACTCCCTCACCTTTACCCCACTCTTCACTTATCATCTTTTATCATCCCTTGGTCTCAGCTTGAATGTTAATCCACTAGGGAGGCCTTCCTTGATCCCAGAAACAAAGTTCCCTCACATGGGTTCCAGGGTCTATCTACTTTCCTTCTGTTATCATATGCTCTCCTGGCAATTGTGTATTCAATGTCTGTTTGCCCTACTGGCTTCCAAAAGCTCTGAGAAACCAGAAACCAGGTACGTGTCATGTTAATACCTACCTGGGACAAGCAGCAACTAACTACACAGTAGATGGTACATGTGTATTTGTTGCCTGATGACTGGGGGAGTGAATAAACTAATGGAGTCCTAGGTTGGCAACAGAGAAGGCTATAGTTAAAACTAAGGCTCTGGGGTGCCTGGGTGGCACAGCTGGTTAGTGTCCAACTCTTTTTCTTTTAATTTTATTTATTTATTCATGAGAGACACACACACACAGAGAGTGAGAGAGAGGCACAGACACAGGCAGAGGGAGAAGCAGGCTCCATTCCATGCAGGGAGCCTGATGTGGGACCCGATCCCGGGTCTCCAGGACCACACCCGGGACTGAAGGTGGTGCTAAGCCACTGAGCCACCCATGCTGCCCAGTGTCCAACTCTTGGTTTCAGTTCAGGTCATGATCCTATCAGGGTCATGAGATTGAGCTCTGCATTGGGCTCCATGATCAGCACAGAGTGTGCTTGAGATCCTCTCTCTCTCTCTCTGCCCATTCTGCTTGCTCTCTCTTTCTTTCTGAAATAAATAAGTACTAAAAAATAAAACCAACAACCCTCCCCACCCTCAGGCTCTGAACTCAGCTTAAGGTAAATACTTTGGGTATATGTCTGGGATGTAGACCCAATATTGAAGATGAAGAGTCATCTTGAAAACTCATGGCAAGGGGATCCCTGGGTGGCTCAGCAGCTTGGCGCCTGCCTTTGGCCCAGGGCATAATCCTGGAGTCCTGGGATCAAGTCCCACGTTGGGCTCCCAGCATGGAGCCTGCTTCTCCTTCCTCCTGTGTCTCTGCCTCTCTCTCTCTATGTCTATCATAAATAAATAAATAAATAAAATTTTTTTTTAAAGAAAACTCACGGCAATAAGCATGGGTGGGGGGAACCCATCTGCTAAGGATAGCTTATCAGAAAGACAGGAGCAGTCTGGGTCCCTTAAGGCATCATGGGGACACCTTTCCTACACTGGACTGTCCCCTGCAGACTTTTTTAGTACAAAAAATAAACTCGTTCATTTTTTTTAAGCTTTTGAGAGAGCATTTTCTATTACTTGCAGCCAAATACAATCTCAAATGATAAAATGAATGTCATGTTGACTTCCTTCTGTGGCCTTCTGACAAGTAAACTCATTTTGATTTATCAGAGCAGGATCTGTGCTTAGGCTTTCCATTGGCTAGGACCTACTGCTGCTATTTCATTCATTCAGTCAATCAGTGAGATTTCTCAGCACCCAACTCTGCAAGGTCCTGGGTGCCAAACAAGTTACCAGTGACAGGTGAGGGAGGGACAGTACAGGATGGTGGTATGGAGGTTGCAGAAGTGGTCTAATGATTAGGCACCAATTTTGAAGGGACAGTGGATAAGATTTGCCACCGGGTTGAAGTTGTCAGGTTGGAGAGAAAGAGGTCTTAAGGATGGCTACAGAGTCTGGTCTGAGAAACTGGATTAACATGGCTGCCATTTATACTGTGATGGGAAGCCTATGGAAGGGATGGGTGGGTGGCAGTCACATCAGGAGCTCAGCTCTGGACATGTGGGAATGCGTATGGGACACACAACAGGTGTTGTAGGCAGTCTGATATATACCTATGACTTTGGATTTCATGGGAGGAGTCCAGGCTGGAGACAGAAATGTGTGAGTTGTCAACTTTAAAGCCACGAAGCTGATCAGATACTGAGAAACTCAGTGTAGACAGAGCCTGAGTCCTGGGCAGCTCCGGGATCAGTGCAGGGTCAGACAGGCTGCAAAGACATCTGTCCTCTCTCCCCAAATGCATGCATGCACGCACTCATCATTCCTCAAGGGCTCAGTTCTTACCTCTGAAAGATGACGTAAGAGGTTTGACAAAGGTCTGGGACCCTTCATGTCCCTCTTCAGGCAAAATTTTTCCACAGTAGGGGCAGAATTTGAATGTTGCTTGAATATTTTTGCCACAGTCTGGACAGAAGGAGATCATGCTAGAAAACAAGAGATGGAGGGAGGGAATGGGAAGCTGAAAGCAAAACTTAATGCATTGCCAGTGAGTAGTTATCTGAGCTCCCTGTGGTGATAAGATTGCAAAAGAGAAAAGCCATCACACTGGAATACACTCTTAGGAAGTGGCCACTTCTTTTTTTAATATTTTATTTATTCATTTGACAGAGAGAGAGAGAGAGACAGCAAGTGAGCACAGGCAGGGGGAGTGGCAGGCAGAAGGAGAAGCATGCTCCCAGTCAAGCAGGGAACCTGATGTGGGGCTTGATCCCAGGACCTCAGGATCATGACCTGAGCCAAAGGCAGACACCCAACTGAACAAGTCACCCAGGCACCCCGGAAATGGCCACTTCTAAAATGAGCTCCTGCCCACTGCCTCTAGCTTCTAGCCATGCATCTCTCTCTAAAGGCCCAGAGCAGGTAAAAAGCAGAAAAATGGAACATGAAACTACAGGTTTCACAGAAGATATGGGAATGCCTTGAAGCCCACAAAAGTTATGCAAGAGACCTGCTCCAATCACAGAAGCACTCTGGGTCTTCCACTGTATCTGTGATGATCATTTCTTGAAACACATGATAGGGATGGGAGAGATGGTAAATGCTCACCAAATAGCCACATGCTCTCCTACCACTTCCCAGAGGGCCCTGCAGTTAAATTGTGGACACATGACTAGTTCTGGCCAATGGTGTGTGAGTGGAAGTCACTTCCCAGCTGAGGCAGTTAAGAGCTGGAGGGCCGGGATGCCTGGGTGGCTCTGAGGTTGAGCATCTGCCTTTGGCTCAGGGCATGATCCCCGGATCTGGTCCTCCATCGGGCTCCCCATGGAGAGCCTGCTTTTCTCTCTGCCTCTCTCTGTGTGTCTCTCATGAATAAATAAATAAAAATAATTTAAAAAACAAAAGAGTTTGAGGGCCTCCTCTGTCCACCCCTCCACAGCACGGATGCCTCTGAAGGCCACATACTCCAGGTAGCATAGCCAGATGGAGGAAGGCTGTCTGGTTCACACTGGAATCTCATGATCAGCAAATAAATTTGTATTATATGAAGCCATCAGGACTTTAGGGTTTGTTCTAGCTGTACAGCCCATCTTATCCTGACATACTTAATGAGACAGGAGTTCACTATATTATCCTCTAGGTTCTGTGTGTCTCTGGAATATTCCCTAAGACTTGTAAAAATCAAAACCAAAATCACACATAGAGCCTGTTACAAGTGAGAACATGGCAGGAATAATCATTTGCTTGGATTGCTATCCCTAAACACCACACACTGGGTGGTTTAAATGATAGAAATTTATTTTCTTAGAATTTTGGAGGCTAGAAGTCTGAGATCAAGGCGTAAGAATGGGGCACATGGGTAGTTCAGTCGGTTAAACATCTGACTTTTGGTTTTGGCTCATGACCTCAGGGTCCTGAGATTGAGCCCCTCTTTCTCCCTTCCCCCTTCCTGCTCTGCTGGACATTGAGCCTGCTTAAGATTTTCTGTCTCCCTCTGCCTGTCCATGCTCCCCACCACCTGCACCCTGCACATGCACACTCTGTTTTTTAAAAAATGGTGTTTGGTTTCTCCTGGGCCCTCTCTCTTTGGCTTGTAGACGGCTGCTTTCTGTGTTCACATGGCCATCCCTCTGGCTGCAATCTAATCTCTTAAAATTTATTATTTATTATTATTTTTTAAAGTTTTATTTATTTGTTCACCAGAGAGAGAGAGAGAGGCAGAGACACAGGCTGAGGGAGAAACAGGCTCCATGCTGGGAACCCGACGTGGGACTCAATCCCAGGTCTCCAGGATCACACCCTGGGCTGAAGGCGGTGCTAAACCGCTGAGCCACCAGGGCTGCCCTTTTAAAATTTATTTATTTGACAGAGAGAGAGAGAGCAAAAGCAGGGGGGTGGCAGGCAGAGGGGGAAGTAGACTCTCCGCTGAGCAGGAAGCCCAATGTGGGGCTCAATCTCAGGACCATGGGATCATGACCTGAGCTGAAGGCAGATGCTACACTGACTGAGCCACCAAGGTGCCCCTCCAATCTCTCCAATCTCTTTAATAAGGAACCAGTAATATGGGATTAGGGCCCTGCTGGGTTTTTTTTAAGCTTTTATTTATTTATTCATGAAAGACACACAGAGAGAGGCAGAGACATAGGCAGAGGGAGAAGCAGGCTTCCTGCAGGGAGCCTGATGTGGGACTTGATCCCAGGACCCTGGGATCACAACCTGAGCCAAAGGCAGATGCTCAACCACTGAGCCATCTAGGTGCCCTGGGTCTCTGTTTCAGTCTGGGTTGCCATAATGGAAAATCACAGACTGGGTAGCTTACAAATAACAGAAACTTATTTCCCACAGTTCTGGAGAGAGCCTTCTGGCTTCCAGACTGACAATTTCTTCCCCCTCATATGGTGGAAGGGGTTAGGGACCCTGAGATCATGACCTGAGCCGAAGGCAGATGCTCAGTCAACTGAGCCACCCAGGTGTCCTAGTAGCTATGTTTTCAATAGCAAAAGAAAACAGGATTATTTCATTTGTCCTTTATTGTAAGGCTTGGTGCACAGTACTGATTATAAGCTGGATATCAATACAAAGTAAGAAGTCAAAGTAAGTTTGTGCTTGTGACTTGTCACCTGGCAACAAAGTTTTTTTTTTTTATTTTTGACAAATAAAAATGGTATATATGTAAGGCATACCACACAATGTCCTGAAATTAACATATCTGTCACATCCCATAGTTGCCACTATTTTTGTGTGATGAGGACACTTCAGATCTACTTTCTTAGCAAATTTCAGGTATTTGATAAATGCTATTTACTAGGCCTCTAGCACTTGTTAATTTTATAACCAAAGTTTGCCAAACCCTGAGATCAAGAGTCGCATGCTCCACCAGCCAGGTGTTTGGAAGGCTTATCCCATGTGACCAATATATTTTCTCCCACAGCCTCTATAACCACTGTTTTACTCTCTGTTACTATGAATTTGACTTTTTTTTTTTTTTTAAGATTCCATATATAAGTGAGATTGCGCCCTAACTATCTTTTTGTGTCTGGCTTAGTCTAATCAAACACTTTTCCTGTACTCACTGTAAAGCTTGGTGTCTGTTGCACCTGCAAATAGTCGAGTCCTTAAAATCAGAGGCTCTGGTCCCAGGCTCCTGAATTGGAATTCCAGATCTGCCACATGCTGGGTATGTTACTTATTCTCTCTGTGCCCTGGTCTGCCCAATGGTAAAACGAGGCTTCTAACAGTACTTATCTGATAGAGTGGCTGTTGAGGCGTATATGAATGTATTTATAGCAAGTACTGCGTACAGGGCCTGGCCCATGGAAAGCTTTTTATATTAGTGGTTGCTATGACTGTGTCATGCTCTGTATCCAACTTTATTCCAGTTGTTAATGTTTTTCTTGTACCCCTTCTCTTTCCACAAGTTCTGAGCCTTGAAGGCCTCCATATTTCTTCTTGCTGCTGACTATGGAATTCTAGTGCTTGCCCTTGAAGACTCCAGGCCATCCAAACAGCTAATGAAAGACATCTCAGTCAAAGGAGACGAGGGTTCCTTTGGTCTGCAGAAGAGAAGAAACCATACTGTGGGCGAAAACTGCCCTTCCTTCATTTCATACAAAGGTGTGTTGTATGACATCAGATGGCAAAGACTGTTGCCAAGTATCCTTTAACCTCTAAGCAGCCTGTAATTCTGATTGGTTGTGTAATTTAATAATTGTCCTTTCAAAAAAAATAATTGTCTTAGTAATGACATTTAAATGGACATCTCTAGGGGCACCTAGGTGGCTCAGCCGGTTAAGCATCTGCCTTCAGCTCAGGTCATGATCCTGGGGTCCTGGGCTCCTTGCTCAGCGGAGAGCCTGCTTCCCTCTCTCCTTCTGCTCTGCCCCACTTGTGCACTCTCTCTCCTGCTCTCTAATAAATAAATAAAAATTTAAGAAAAAGAAATATGAAAATCCATGACAGTTTTAAGTGGCTTTGCTTTATGTGGAATTTTTCAGGGTGCCACGTGCCCTTAGCTAAAGATGGCCTCTAGGATGGGACAAGTGCCTAACCCAGTGACCCTGCCACACCCATGACCCTGCCACTTCCTCCTGGGAGTAAAGTCTGAAAGCAGCAACACAGAGTAGATAGAACAGGAGCAGGCTCTGGGTGGAGGAGAAAAGGCCTTAAGGGACACGTCCCTGAAGAGCTGGTACCTTTATGGGGTCACAGTCTGGCCCTCAGATTCACTGGGCTGGCAACTCCATCTTAACAGTGTCCTGTAAGTAAATAAAAGTAGAGAGGTCGACTCAGGCTCACTTCACATATAAGTGGACGATGATGGTTAGTGTTTATTGATCATTGGCGAGGTAGCCAACATGTGCTAAGTTCATTCATCCATGGATACGTGCTAACTGAACTCCTAATATGTGCTAACCACGAGGGATTTAGCAGTGAAGGAAACAAACAGGCTCTTGATCTGAGAAAGCTCACAATCTAGTGGCAAAAAAGGAAATTAATAAACAAATGAGCAATTGTTCAACAGATCAGATGGAAAGAGTGCTATAGTCAACACTCAATAAATATGGATGGAAGAAGGGATCTCAGAGTGAAGTCATATGGCTAGGACTTAAACCCAAGACTGTAACATTCAGGTGTCTTTATCATTCATTCGCCCACTTATTTATTCAACAAATATTTATTGAACATCTGCTCTGTGTTTAGAATTGCGTCCCTCCTAGAATGTTCTCAGCCACAACACAGCAAAAGGGACAGGTGTCTAGGTGACCAGGATTCGCCCAGGCCCCGCCCACCAAAGAAACCAGGGAAGACGTAGTGCCAAGGAGGGGTACTTGTCAAGCTCCCCACTAGTTCCGCCCACCTCCGTCGTAGTCACGACCACCGAGAGCCAAGAGTGGCTTGGAGGGGTCGCAAGGGCAGGTCGGTTATCCCGGAGACCAGAAGATTCTTTCATCGAGAACCCAGCCCCCGGGAACTCTGTCTCCCACAAATGATCGTGCTGACATCACAGGTACCAGGACTGGACTATGGTCAGTGGATCGGGAGACCTCTCTCTACTCCACCTCACCTTTCCCTCACCTCCGGACTTGGTGAGCGGGGTGAGGAGCCACAGGTCTGAGGCCAAATTCTCCGACTCTTTCCCGAGAGTAGGACTCACCTTCTTAGTTGTCCCGCGCAAACTTCCGGGAAGCAGAAAGCGCTGCGCGCGCATCCCCCATCCGGAGGGAGGACAGCGCCCGCGCAGGCGCTGCTGACCTCCAGACTGCCCTCAGCCTGTGTGGGAGAGGGATTATTTCCTCATCACCCACCCCTATTCCACCCACTCTTGGAAATTTCCTCGTTCTACTGCGCATGTGCCATCTTGGAGCCAAGGAGCCAATCGTAAGGAGGGATGAACTACGAGGCATCTCTCCGCCTATTAGAGAGAGGTCATATTATCATTTTCCCGCCTCAACCCCGCCCCTTACTTCCAAGCGTCTTTTCAGGAACTTCCTTCTCAACGGTTTCCATGGCAACCCTCCGTCTCTTTCAGGTTGGGCATGCTGATTAGATTGTTGTTCAACAGGGTAAAAAACTGGACTACAATACCCACACGCCACCTGGTCCCGAGTTTGTGTCTACTCTATTTCCCAGAGTGCTCAGCGGAACCTCTAAGGCCGAAGAAGCTGGCGGATATAGGAACACAAGGGAAGGAGCCCGCACAGTCTTCTGGGAAACGAAGTCGGCCGGCTGGCGCGGAGGCTCCTGGGTGGAGTAGCTTGAGGAAATTCACGCGGCGCCGGAAGTGATTAATAGGCGCGAGTGTGAGGAGTTGGGTCTGCGTCTCCCTCCCGGCTGGAGTCGCGTCTGTTAACTCGGCGGACCGCAGTCTTCAGGTGAGGAGATGCCGAGGCTGGGGATCTCTTGAGTACTCCGAGGGTTTGGCGGCTCGGTCCTTCGCGAGGGGTGACGGAATGCTCACGGGGCGATTTCGGCAAGGGCGCGCCGTCTTGGGCGGTGGGTGTCTGGGTGGGGTTGAAGTGTCTCTGTTCCGAGCCGGTTCTGGGCCTAGCTCTCGCAGAAACTGTTTACAGTCCTCACCGGAGCCCGTGAAAGGAGCGGTGATATTTTATTTCACCTTTTAGAGAGGAGTCTGAGGCCGAAGTTGAAACGGGCAGATGACGAGGGATGAATGAATGAATGAATGAATGGATGGATGGGAGTTCTTCAGGAGGTACAAGTATTTCGCGTCTGAGCGCCTCTTGTCTGCTGCTTTTCTTCCTGTGAACTCCGCAGCAGCGCCTAGTGCAGCTCCTCGCTTTTATCGGCTCCCTCGGCACCAGGAGCATCAAGGGAATCACAATTTTTCGGAGTTTGGGAAGTTAATAGGCTCCTTATTTCATAGTTAGGCAACACCTCAGAGGGATCTGGGGCAGTTCTTGGAAATCTATTACTGTATGTGAATAGATAGTCACACTGTACATAGACTGTGGCAGTTCGTTCAGTCCAGTTTTACTGTCAGTTTATGAATAAAGTTCTGGCTTTCAGAGCTTTTTTGTTTTTAGAATTACAGATATGGGACTGTGGATCTGTTTCATTTGTTTCGCTTTGTACATGTGGGAACCAGGCGCAGAGTGTGTGAATGATCTGGCCGTGGACCCATGCTTAGAAGAAGCAAGACTTCCCCACTGCAGGGCCCAAGATTTTTCAGTCCTGTAATTGTTTGGCTCAGGTCATTCTGACAGGCTGGGTGGACTTGAGCTTCACAGTGGGACTCCAGTTTCTTCTGTCCTAGGTCTTAGTGTGTATAGATATGGACAGAATGTGATGTGAAAACTGTAGACAGAGGCCTCAAACTCAGATGTCTCTGAGAGTCAGGCAGATAAGGTAAAGGAGAGAACCCACCTGGGAAGGGCTGTGGGGCATCAGGGAGCACTTGCCCATCTAAGGGGGAGGGAGTGTTAGCTTTAAATTGGCACTAACAGCTCAGTGGGCCAAATCCTAGGATTTTTCATTAACTGGAAATTGAAATTTTAAGCAAAATTTCCCAACTTTCAAGTTTGGAACTACTTAAAGTAATTTTCTTTTAAAACCTTCTATCTTCCAGCCCTATGGGGGAAAAAAAAATCTGTGGACCAAATTATACTCTGTCATGTGAGGAAAATCACTATTGAGTAAATGTTAGCACTTACAAGTCTACCACATTGTCTTATCAAAATCTAGAAAGCTGAAGCTATTTTTTTCCATAAATTTGGTGTCCAAACCTGACTAGAACTGCTAAGAGTTATAACCTTCAATTATCCTACCTAGAATGAATATTTATATCCTTCACTCTAGAAATATCGAGGTGTTCAGTTACAAAATGCTGCCAATCCCACACTGCATGGTGATTTTAATGAAATATAATGTATATATGGTATCTCACCATTTTAAAAATCTGAAAATTTCTGAATTTCAAGACACATCTGGCCCCAGAGGCTTAAGCATTATGGACCTGTCATTAGGTCATCCTGCTGCTTTGTGATGGGAGTGTTTTCATGACTCCATAGATATGGCAATGGCTACTGATCTGTGAAAAGCTGTATGGCACTGTGTTTTGTATAATTCAGTGGGCAGTGGCCATATTTTTTTTTTTTTTAATGGAGTAAAACAAATTAGAATAGAAAAGATCCCGGTACATCCTACTTTGTATGATTTAGTGTTATTTCATGAAGCTTTGTTTAGTTACATGTGTGAATGAGTAGTAACAGTATATGCTGTCTTTGTTGCTGTGGGTCATGGTTTAATAAAAAGTTGGAGAAATCTTGCTGTTGTAGAAATAGAAAGTGTTGGAGGCCAACTCGCCTGGACTCAGATCCTAGAGATGGTATCAGAAATCCCAGAAGCATCATTCCAGGGGTACATTAGACATTATGTTCTGTCAGCAAACCTTGAAAAGTATCTACTGTGCTGTAGTAGTGAGCAGAACAGAAGGTCTCGGGACCTTAAATGCCACCTCTTCCAAACATTCATCTACTACCTATAATAAGTGCCAAGAACGGTTCTGAAGATACTGGTAGGCTCTGAAGCACAGTGTAAAGGAGGGGCCGGGGTAGTTTCAATAAATACCAAATTGTTACTGTGATTCCTGCAGGGAGACTTGCGTCCTGCCTGATCTTCCTACTTCCTGATGTTTTGGGGGCTCCTCCAGGATGGCCAGGGAGTCTGCCCTTGGCCAAAGGGAGACTTTGCCCCAGCTCCCTTGTCCCCCCTGCAGCCCTGCCAGCCGGGAATGTGGAGAGAAGGAGAAGGAGCTTAAATGAGACCGTCAGCTGCTGGGCCCTAGTTGGCTATGACCGAGGTGAGTTAAGGGCCCCTCTCTCCTGCTCGGTCATCCCCAGAGCCTGCACAGCTGGCCTGCCTTTATTTTATTTATTTTTTATTTTTTAAAGATTTTATTTATTTATTCATGAGAGACAGAGAAAGGCAGATGGGGAAGCAGGCTCCACGCAGGGAGCCCAATGTGGGATTCGATCCTGGGACTCTGGGATCACGCCCTGAGCCAAAGGCAGATGCTCAACCAGAGCCACCCAGGTGTCCCCCCCCCCCTTTTTTTTTACGATTTTATTTATTTATTCATGAGACACACACACACACACACACACACACACACACACAGAGGCAAAAACACAGGCAGAGGGAGATTGGCCTGCCTTTATTCTGGGCTCCTTGTCTTCTGGTGATCCTCTCATTATACTGTCGCTCCCTGCTCAGGACCCTTCCGGGAATCCTTACTGCTTATAGGATAAAATCCACATTTCTCAGCACAATCCTGTATGATCTGAGTCCCACCCCCTTCTACAGTATCTTCTCTGTTTCTGGACACAACCAAAACTTCCCTTCTTGGCCTGGTGGTAAGATGTTACACTGTGCTTTCCAGATTCATAGCCTTTGCTCAGGTTCCACCCCCTGGCCAGAATACCCTACCTGCCATTCCTGGCTATTAAGGCTTACACAGCCTTTAAGACCCAGCTCAATCCCTCCACCTTCTCTGAGCAGTCTGCTCTTCCCTGCTCTGCTCTCCCACAGCACCCCCTGCTGCCTCCACCATAGCACAGATCACCTGGATGTGTTGTTCCTGCCCTGTTAGCCTCACCAGACAAGGTGCTTCTTGGGTACAGGTACTGATTGTGACTCACCTCTGGGCCCCCAGGAACTTTCACAGGCCTGGTACTTAGGAGTTCTTTTTTTTTTAACATAGGAGTTCTTAAAGTGTTGCTTGAGTGATGAATGAAAACCTTCCTCTACCTGGTAAATATCTTCTTTTTTCTTCTTTTTTTTTTAAAGATTTGAGAGAAGAGCGAGAAAGCATGGGGTAGAGGAGGGGCAAAGAGAGTGGGGGAAGCAGGTGGGGCTCGATCCCAGGACCCCGAGATCATGACCTGAGCTGAAGGCAGACACCTAGCCGACTCAGCTACCTAGGCGCCTCTGGTTAATTTCTTCTTATCCTTAATGACCCAACTTGAATATCTCACTGGACCAGGAAGCTTCCCCTGACTCCCAAGGCAATGTTTTCACGCCCTTTTGCCGCAGCCCCAGATACCACTCTCTGTTACAGACTTGTCTCCTTATGCTCCCTACCAGCATCCTTGAATGTCTCCTCCAGGCCAGGGACTGAGTCTGCTGCCTCTGTGCCTCCAGCATCCCTAGAGGGGTCTGGCACACAGGAGAAATGACTGTTGAATTAATGAATGCATGCTCTGACCTTGTCAGTGTCCAGTATAAAACTCTCTGTAGTTCCCCAGTGCCCTACAGATCAAATCCAGAGTCTTCCCACACCATCCACAACTGTTTCCAGGGGTGCTGTCCAGGAAAGTTGAGGAGTCCAGGAAAGGAAGCTTCTTGGGACTCTGATCTGGCTCCTGCTGAAAAAACCTCTTTGGCTAACCCCTTCCGACAGGGTATGGACAGCAGCAGTTTCAACCAGAACTAATAGGATGCTCGGCTCATGATTCAGTAGAGCACATAACCAAAAAGGCCTGAGGAGGTGCTGGCTTGATCTGCCAGTTCACACAGTGTGTTCCAGACCCAGTTTACCATCCCCATCTCTCAGCCACACTACCTATTATCTCCATCCTATCCCGAAACAGCTGCCAGAACTGCATACCCCCTCCCCGCCCCCCAGGCCTCCTGTAGGTAAGCTTTGTTCTGGGTGCTGTATCTACATGCTGGGGAATCAGCTGATGGAGGCTAGAAATCTGAGGTCAAGGTGTCATCAGGGCACCTTCCTTTTGGAGACTGTAGGGTAAAATCCGTTCCATGCCTCTTGTAGCTTCTAGAAGTGCCTGTGTTCCTTGACTTGTGGTCACATCCTTCTGACCTGTTTCTGCCATCACATTGCCTCCTCCCTCTGACTCCTTATGAGGATAAGGATATTCAGGGACACCTGGGTGGCTCAGTGGCTGAGTGTTTGCCTTCAGCTCAGGTTGTGATCCTCGGGTCCTGGCATTGAATCCTACGTCAGGCTCCCTGCTCAGCAAGGAAGCCTGCTTCTCCCTCTGCCTATGTCTCTACCTCTCTGTGTCTCTTATGAATAAATAAATACAATCTTAAAAAAAAAAGGGATCCCTGGGTGGCGCAGCAGTTTGGTGCCTGCCTTTGGCCCAGGGCGTGATCCTGGAGACCCGGGATCGAATCCCACATTGGGCTCCCGGTGCATGTACTCTGCTTCTCCCTCTGCCTGTGTCTCTGCCTCTCTCTCTCTGTGTGACTATCATAAATAAATAAAAAATTTAAAAAAAAAAAAGATTGGTCATGACAATTAGGGGAGAACCTCCCCATCTCAGGATCCTTAGCTTGCCACACCTGTAAAGTCCCTTTTGTCATATGAGGTAGCAGTCATGGGTTAGATTAAAAATATTCATATTGGGGTGTCCGGGTGGCTCTACTGGTGAAGTGTCTGCCTTTGGTTCAGATCATGATCCTGGGGTCCTGGGACGGAGCCCTATGTTGGGCTCCCTGCTCAGTGGGGAGTCTGCTTTTCCCTCTCTGTCTCCCCTCTGCTTGTGCTCTCTCTCAAATAAATAAAAATCCTTAAAAACCCCAAAACTCGAAAAACCTTCATACCATGTCAGCCCAGTGCAGGGCATAGACCTCTTTGGATTCTGATTCAAACAAGCCAGCCATAAAAACACTGTTGAACCTAGAGTGGTCAAATCACAGAGTCAGAGACAAAAGTAGAATGGTGGTACCAGGGGCTAGGACAGGAATGGAGGGGAGACAGTGTTTCAAGGGGACAGTTTCAGTTTGGCAAGATGAATAGAGTGTTTAATGCCCCTGGATGAAGTGGCATTTTCCTTTTTTTTTCTTTCCACAATTAAAAAAAAAGGGAAAAAACAAAACAAAACAAAACGCCATTTAGTTGTCAAACGAATCTGCATCCAGACTTTGAATTTGGTCTAGGTATTCAGTGATTAAGGAGTTCTGTGGTAAGTATTGAAGTATTTACAGGTGAAATCAGATGCTGCCTGGACTTTTGAAATATTTTGTCCTCCTGCCCCCACAAAAACTTTTAACGAACAAAATAGACCAGGGTTAACAGGGGTTGAAGTTGGGTGATGGATACATGGCGGTCTGTTACGTGTAAATCTCTACTTCTGTACGTGTTTGAAAATCTCCATAATAAAAACTTAAAATAAATAAGCAGATTTCAGGAACAGAGAAATGTCCTGCCTGTGTGACCCTGAGGGGACTTCATGTCCCCTCTCCAAGACTCCATGTCTTACCTACAAAATATGGGGATGCTGGGGTGCCTGGGTGGCTTAGTCAGTTGAGCGTCTGTCTGCCTTCGACTCAAGTCATGGTCCTGAGATCAAGCCCCAAGTCAGGCTCCTTGCCAGGGGGCAGTCTTCTTCTCCCTCTCCCTCTGCTGGTCCCCCTGCTTATGTGCACGCTCACTCTCTCTGTCAAATAAATAAATACAATCTTAAAAAAAAAAATGGGGATGCCCGGTCTCTTATGTCTCAGGGTTCCCAGGAGATGATTTTTGTCAAAAGGCTGGTACATTGAGAGCGGAGATGCATGGAATGAGTCATTGGGTCCCTCCCTGACCCCAGTCCCAGTGTCACTGACAGTGTGTTATGTTTCAGGAACTTGTAATCCTCAGGGATGTAGCCATGGACTTCACCTTGGAGGACTGGGAGCATCTGGGGCTGGACCAGGGGGACCTATTCTGGGACACAGCACTGGACAACTACCAGAACCTTTTCCTGCTGAGTGAGTGTCCTCTCCAACCCGGGCAGTGAGCAGAGCAATGGCTCCTGAATGCCAGAGAAACCAGCAGGATGTGTGGCCCAGCAGTGCTCACACCTCGGGGACACCAGCGATGCCTAGTGACCTTTCTGATTGTCAGCCCTTGGCAGTGGGGGCATGCACCTGGCATCTTGTGGGTGAAGCCCAGGGTTGCTGCCACACATCTTGGAATGAAAGGACAGCCCCTTCCAAAGGGGATTATCCAACCCCAAATGTCAGTAGAGCCAACGTTAAGAACTCCCATTACCTTCCACCTGCCGCTCTGGCCTCAGCACTTTCCTCTTTGTCCTTGTAGAGCTGACAGAGTCTTCGGTTTGCCTTCCCCTCCTCTGCCTAGAAGCCTTGTCCCCTCCCTGCCCCCAGGACAGCCTGTGAGCACAGCCTCCTCTGTCTCCTGCCCAGCTCGCCCATCACCCCTGCACTTTCTAACTGCTCATTTGATACTCAGTCTCCTGAGGCTGGGAGGGGGGCTCCCTGAGGAGGGGGGCTTTGCATTGGTGCTGCTCCCCGGTAAATCCCCAGTGTTAGTTAGGAACAGATGGTACAAGCCGTGGCTCTGTAAACGAAGGAGTAGCTGAGCCAGGAGCCAGGTCTCACGAAGGGTCAGCACTTAGACCTGTTCTTCAAAGCTGCAGTCACCCCACAAGGAAGTCTGACTCCCTGTTTTGTTGGCCCTTCTGAAATCAAGGCCCAAAGAGGGGACTTCACCTTCCCTGCTATGTTGAGGTCCCCAGAAGCACCCTGTGTTTGGTATTTTATGAGGAGGACTTGTAGGACTCAGCATATATTCATATTCATGGCCAGGACATATTACGGAGAAAGGACACAGCACGGGCAACAGAGGGGAAACCAGGCCACCTTCCAGAGCTGTCTCCCTGTGGAGTCACACAGGATATGTAACGAGGTGACAACACTCATTAGAGACTGAGCACCCATAGTTTTTATTGGGGACCAGTCACATAGGCGCACTCTGCTGGGAACTTACCAGAATTCTAGACTCCCAGAAGGAAAGCAGGTGTGCAGCATAACCATTGAGGCACAGGGGGCTCCTCTTCTTGGCTCAGAAATGCTGACATTTCCTCAGATCCAGGTTCCCAGACACCAGCCAAGGGCCAGCCTCACAGATTTTCTCTTAACTCTGCTCAGTGTGTATTATAGAAGCAGTTTTGGGAGGCTCAGCCCTCCATGTCTTTTCTATTTTTAAACTACAGCTCAAAGTAAATGTACGTTTCCCTTGATTCCCTGCACATGTGTGTACGTGTGCAGCATATCAGCAGCATACCTATGCGTGTATATGTATATATCCGAGTAGTGTGTTAGCTTCCTATGGCTGCTTACAAATGCCACCAGCACAGCAGCTTCAAACAATGTGCTCATTCTCATACAGTCGTGGAGATCAGAAGTGTGGAACAGGTCCAACTGGTCTAAAATCAGGATGTTGGCAGGGCTCATTCCTTCTGATGGCTCCAGGGAAGAGTGTTTCTTTGCCCTTTTTCAGCTTTAGAGGCATCTGCATTGCTTGGCTCATGGTCTTTTCATTTTCAAGTCAGAGGGGCACTTTTCCTCTATTGTAGCACAGAGTCTCCGGTATTATGACTCTGTTCCCTTCCTTGAGCAGTTCACAGAGGGCAGGGTACAGGGCTGATTGGGCTGTGGGAGCTCGGCATGCTCTATGACAGGGCACAGCCAGGGAGGCCTAGGGTCAGATGGGCTCCCTGGGTAAATGTGTGAGCCACAGATGGCAGGGTAAGTGTGATCCTCTCTACCTGGCGAATTGCTCATTCCTCAAGAGCTGTTATAAGTCCTTTATGTCCCCAGCCCTGGCTGTCTCAGCTCTGATCACCCTGGATTGTGACTGCCTGGGTCCCTCTCCTCCATGGGACTGAGGACCCTGCAGGGAAGGTGTCCTCAGAATTGTCCAGTGCAGCATCTGGCCCTCAGGAGGAGTACGCTGAATAAAGCATTGGATAAGCAGCTTGCTGGCCCTCCATGTCCTGGTTGGTGACAGTGCTCTTCTCTACCTGCAGACCCCTCCAAACCCAAACTGACCTCTTGTCCGGATGGCGGGGAAAAGCTGGAGGTGCTGGTGAGAGCAAGCCCAGAATCAGAGTGCCCTGGTGAGTGGGCAGGGAGGGGGGCGGGCAGTGGGCTTGTAGGACATGGCCTTTTGTGTGCCGTCTATCTTTGGAACTTCCATCCAGACCCAGAACGTTTACCCAGACATCTTGACCCTGGACCTGATGAGCTTCATTCTTCTATGTGCTGGCTTCTGTTCCCTTGTCCTGGCAGGGGTTGGGACCCTTCCTCTGCTGGGCTGTCTTATCTCTGTCTGCGTCTGTGTCTGGCAGGCAGCTGTTTAGGTGCCTTTCCTCTGTCCCCTCTTCAGTCCTTTCACACTGAGCAGGAGGTGGCCTTCCATGCCTTGGGTCCATCTCTCCACCTTCCTGCCTTGTACCCCTTGAATACTGCAAATCCCTGGTCTCTCTTACCCCTCTTTGTACAGGTCATCCCACAGGGGACAACAGATGGCTACATCTGTGAATAACTCAAACCCAGGCTGAAATGTAGCCAAGAATGTTTGTTCTGGTCTCTCCTAGGCCACGGTTCCTCCAGGGGAAGCAGGTTAGGCAATGAGGGTGTCACACTGGTTGTGATGTACCCAGTGGGAGAAGGCAGAGGCAGGGACTGCCTTTGAGGCACAGGAGGCTTTTCTCAGGGTCAGATCATGAACACGAGAGGACCCCCTGAATGAGAGACCACATAGCAGTGGCTGCATGGCTCCATCTTGGCCTCCACCATCCCTTGAGAGCTCAGGAACATGGACCCTCTGTAGCCTCCTGTGAGGTTCACCAGTGTTTGTGCATAGGTGACCAGTCCAGAGTCCTGGCACCTCAACAACATACTGTTTCCAAGCATGTGTAGCCGTGCCTCTACTACCTAAATATGTCCTCCAGTGATAATAACCATACTGAATTATTATCATTTATCTCTTTCCATGTGGAACATTGCCCTTCTCCAGGAAGTGGGCTATATGTAGCTGGTGGGGGTGATGGTAGAGAGTATCTGTTGAGAGGCTCATCATCTCTGCAGAACCTGTGTGGCTGCCCAGTTCCCTCTTAACTGCCCTGGAAATGGGCTCTTTGTGATGCCAGTTCCAGCTGGATCACCACTTTGGCCCCTCCTCCTCCACCCCCTTGAGGAACAAGCTTACCAACGAGCCATCACCCGTTCTCCCTCTTGTCTGTGTTGTCATCCTGCAGCTCCTGGTATTTTATCCTGGGGAACGGGAGACATCCATACTTTCCTTCTCTTGCAGACACAGCTGGGGCCAAGACCTGTCCTCTGGCAGAAGACTACTTAGAAGGACTCTCCCAAGAGGTCACAGAGACATTGTCCAAGGATGACCTCCAGAATTCCAGTTGGGGGAAAGCCTGTGTAGGTGAGAGTTGGTTAGATAGTCTGCTAGGAGATTCAGAAAATCTTCTGAGGTCTGACATCGTTACCAACAAGGAGAGTCCTACAGAATACAGGAGTCATGAACTCAAAACAGACCTTGGGCCAGAGTTCCTCTTTTCCACAGGAGAGGATTCTGGGATGTACAATCTTTCTGAAAAGAGCCCTACACTGGCTACATCTCAGGAACATGAGAGTGACCTTGGCTGTGTCTTAGATCAGAACCAGCAGGAGGGCATCCAGGAGGGGGAGAAATTGTATAAATGTAGTGAATGTGGGAAGAGCTTTAGCCAGAGTTACCATCTTATCCAGCACTGGATTCTTCATACTAGAGAGAAACCCAGTGTGTGTCAAGAGTACAAGGAAGGTTTCAGCCAGAGTTCTTGCCTCTTGGCGCCTCTGACAACTCACACAGGCTACAGATCCTTTGTGTGTGCCAAGTGCGGGAAAACTTTCGCTCAGAACATGCACCTTGTACAGCATCAGAAAATTCACACCAGGGAAAAACCATGTAAGAATCAAGATAGTGACCAGCCGTCGGTTGTCGGCCTACAGCCTGCTGAGCACCAGAAAACCCATATGGGTGGTCAGTCCCACAGATGTAATGAGTGTGGCAAGAGTTTCAGCCAAACCTTTCATCTTACTCAGCATCAGAAGACCCATACCCAGAAGCTCTACGAATGTGCCAAATGCAAGGTGACCTTCAACCTCAGGAAATACCTCCTCCAACACCAGAAAATCCATTCCACAGACCCTCCCTCTGAGCATCAGGAATGCAGGAAGGCTTTCAGGCAGAGCTTGCTGCTTATCAAACACCAGTCTGTTCACACTGGAGAAAAGCCTTACAACTGTGATCAGTGTGGGAAACCCTTCAGGAATATCTCAACCCTAAAGATCCACCAGCGGGTTCACAGTGGAGAGAAGCCTTACAAATGCAATGAGTGTGGGAAAGCCTTCTACCGGAATACTCACCTTAATGAACATCAGAGGATTCACACTGGCTATCGGCCCTACAAATGTCACAAATGCATCAAGAGTTTTAGCCGGCCCTCCCACCTGATTCGACACCAGTCTATCCATGCCATAGAAAAGCCCTACAGCTGTACCAAATGCAAGGAAACTTTCAGCCACAATGAACACCTCATCCAGCACCAGAAAATGCACACTGTGGAGACCCCTTATGAATGCCAGGAGTGTGGTGAGCGCTTCATCTGCAGCTCCACACTAAATTGCCACCAGACTATTCACACCAGAGAAAAACAAGGACTTAGTGAGAGCGGGAGGATCTTGAATCAGGACTCAGAGCAGAGTGAGCAACTGAGGATCAGTGAGAAGCACTTTAAGTGTAACAAATGCGAGAAAACCTTTAGCTGCAGCAAATACCTGGCTCAGCATGAGAGGGTTCACACCAGGGTGAAGCCCTTCGAGTGTAAGCAGTGTGGAAAAGCCTTTAGCCAAAGTACACAGCTCATTCGCCATCAGAGCATCCACTCTGGGGTGAGGCCATATGAATGTGGGGACTGTGGGAAGGCCTTTGTTTACAGTACTTCCCTCACTAAACATCAGTCTATCCACCAGAGCGAACACCCTTTTAAATGTAATGAATGTGGAAAGACCTTCAGCCAAAGTGCACATCTCTCAGAACATCAATTAATTCACACTGCAGAGAAACTCTTTCAGTGTAATATATGTGACAAATCCTTTGCCCATAGTAACTGCCTTACTCAGCATCAGAGAATTCATGCTGGAAACAAGTTCTTTGAGTGTAATGAATGTGGAAAGTCATTTCATCAGAGCTCATGCCTTTCTAAGCATCAGAGAGGTCACACCGGTGAGAAACCTCACAAATGCAGTGACTGTGGGAAAACCTTCAGCGTGGGTGCTCAACTCATTCAACACCAGAGAGTTCATACCGGAGAAAAGCCTTATGTTTGTCAGGAATGTGGGAAAGCCTTCACCCAGAGCTCATGCCTTTCTGTTCACCAGCGAGTTCACACCGGGGAGAGGCCTTATGTTTGTCAGGAATGTGGGAAAGCCTTCAGCCAAAGCTCGTGCCTTTCTGTTCACCAGAGAATTCACACTGGGGAGAAGCCTTATGTATGTGCTGAATGTGGGAAAGCCTTTGCCCAGAAAGCAAATCTGATGCAGCATGAGAGAATTCACACTGGGGAGAAACCTTATGTCTGCAGGGTGTGTGGGAAAGCCTTTGGGCTCAGTGCCCATCTCAGTCAACACCAGAGAATTCACACCCAAGAAAAACTGTAGCAATGTCAACCTTGTCAGCCCTTTGCTGTAGGTCTCAGCAGAAATCGGCAAGTTCATACTTAGAGGTAATGAGTTAAGTAGAAGTAACAAGTAGCAATACTATCTGCTCCTGAGTGGCAGCAAAGTCCCAGACATTTGAACATGGTTCATCTAAAGTTGAAATTGTTGAAAGTCCTAAAGTTGAAATTGTCACATTGTAAGCTCCTTCCCCCCAAATAAATACACTCCTTATCCCTAAAAAATGGTAAGAAAACTTGCACATAAGTTTTATGAAAACACAGTTGTTGAGAAGCCATGTAACATGGGAATTCAGAGGTAGTAGATCCGAGCTAGTCAGCTGAGTTAAATCTCGGCTCTGACACGTGCTACCTGAGTGATCCAGGGAGAGTCATGGGACCTCCTAGGGCCTCTGCATCCTCATCTGTAAAATGGGTACAAGATGATTACCTACCTCAGAAGGCTGCTGTGAGGATAAATAGATATAAAGAAGCACTTAGAACTGAGTGCCCAGCACACAGTATGCACACACCAAATGTGAGCTACAAATACTCGTGAGATACAACACATATTTAAAAGAAGGGAAGAATTAGTAATCCTCTATTTATTGCCGTTAATGTTCTTGCTAGTACTATGTGGTCACTTTCATTTCTTATTAAAGATTTTATTTGTTTATTTGAGAGAGCAAAAGAGAGCATGAGCAGGGGTGAGGGGCAGAGAGAGTGAGGAAGAAGCAGACTCCTCACTGAGCAGGTAGCCCGACATGGGGCTCAGTCCCAGGACCTTGAGAGCATGACCTGAGCTGAAGGTAGATGCCCAACTGACTGAGCCACTCAGGTGCCCCTCATTTTTCTTTAAAAAGACTTTAAGTAAAATCTATTCCCAATGTGAGGCTCCAACTCACCATGCGAAGACCGAGAGTCACATGCTCTTCTGACTGAGCCAGCCAGGCGCTTCTGTGTCACTTTCATTTTTTAAATAGTTGTTTTAAAAAAGATTTTATTTGAGAGAAAGTGAGTGGGAGAAGGAAAGAGAATCTGAAGCAGACTGTGTGTGGAGCCAGAGCCTGATGCAGGGCTTTATCTCATGACCTTAAGATCACAACCCGAACTGAAACCAAGAGGCAGATGCTCAACTGACAGCCAGCCAGGTGCCCCGCGTAGCTCTCATTTTTAAAGTTTTCTCCAAAATGCCCCTGGCTAAATTTGGTTCCCCAAACCCAGCACCTTGCTCTCTTGCTCTTCTTTTTTTTTTAAAAAAAAGAATCTAGCCTTTTCCTTCCCCTCCGCTGTGTCATATTTTCTTAATTAACCCACAGAAGCAAGATTAACACCAAATAGCAGGAACTTTCCACTCCTAACTGCCAAAACCTCACTCAAAAGGACATTCTCCCACATACACATGCTACATCTTCCCATAATCCCCTTCCCTCATTTAAAGTTGGTTATACGGTATGAGAGCCAGTTTGCTGTGGAAGTTAATGGTACTAGAAGCAGTGGGATTCAGTTGGGAAAGCTGCATTGTATATTGCTACATGGTTCACAGATGATGTGCTTGATGGTGAAGATTGTGGTTATGTGGAAGTGACTGCTAGAATGTTCCTTATGTACCCTTTGTCCCAGCCACACACCAGGCACTTTGCCAGGCTCCATGATAGGGAATACCAACACAGTAAGCCACACCCTTGCCTTGAACCTTCTGGAATCAAAGGGAAATGGATGTTTCCATTTCCACAGAGAAGTACTGTTCGTTTACAAGTGACATTTTATTTTATTTTTTTAAAAGATCTTATTTATTTATTCATGAGGATACACAGAGAGGAGAGAGAGAGAGAGAGGCAGAGACACAGGCAGCGGGAGAAACAGGCTCCATGCAGGGAGCCCGACGTGGGACTCGATCCTGGGTCTCCAGGATCACACCCTGGGCTGTAGGCAGCGCTAAACCGCTGAGCCATCGGGGCTGCCCTACAAGTGACATTTTAAAATGCCCCACTCCTTCATGTCACAGCAAGTTCTGGGACTGTGGAGGATTGCTGGAGAGCCCAGGGAGGACACCATTCTTCCTGTTGGTGCCCTTAAGTCAACTCTTCACCTTTGGCCAAGCCTGTTCTACAGCGGAGACCCCTCATGGAACCACACGATCAGTTCCTTCTTGATGGCGCCTGCTCAGCTCTGGGTTTCACACCCACCAAGTTGACCAGTCACGTTTCCTGAAGCACAAACAGAATCTACTGAAGACACTAACTCTCCTGATATCTTTCATATTTCTGGTGCTAAAATGCTTAGGAGTATGCGCTCTTGCGCTTTTTAAGCCTTGTACCTTAAGTTCTGCTGGTTGGTTTTGTTGTTGTAACTGGGAACAGATTGGCTGAGCATTAGGCTTACGCCACCCTGGGGAGCATATTGGTTTCCAAATGGCCAAAATACTGAACTCCCTGCATGTGGTCCCTGCCCTCAGATTGCTGTGTAGTGTGGGCAACAGGCCTGTTCTGTACCGTAGGGGCAGCACAGAGGCAGGAGCTCCGAACCAATGAGTGTGTTCAACAAGAGTTTTGACACCACAGATCGAGGCCAGAGGCCTTGCAGAAAGTTGGCAGCCATGGTGGGGGGCAGACTCTGTAACTCCCAACCTGTGTTGCTGTGGGCCAGTGTGGAAATGCCTTTATGTGTGTGTGTGGTGGTTCTCTGATTAAAGTTTTGAGTCTGTAAGCACTGGTTGGTTCTTTCAGCCTGGTGCCACATACCTGGCCAGGTGCTGGGCACACAGAGGCCCCTGTTCCTGCCAAGTGCTCACATTCTGGAGGAGGAGGGCTATAACGGTGAAAACTAGCCCATGAGAGGGGATGATTATATCTGCCTTACCAAAGTGTGGGTGGGGCATGGACACCCGGGAGCCATACAACTTCCTCAACTTCATCAGGTCCACAGATATATCATCGAACAACACTTCATTCTAAGGTGATCCTGACTGAGGAGGAAGCATGGACACTGTCGTTCGCTCTTTAGTTACAAAGACATTGCCTCAGGCTCAGGCAATCACAGTAGCTAGAAATGAATATTACCTTCCTCATGGTATTTATTTCCTTTCTCCCCCTTCTTCCTTTACTAACAAGAAATACTAGTGTCCCACTCATGGCAGTAGTAGAAAGTCCTTAAACCTATTTAGGGGCACCTAAGTGGCTCAGTTAAGTGCTTGACTCTTGATTTTTGGCTCAGGTCATGTCCTCAGGGTCCTGAGCCCCACATTGGGCTTCACACTCAGCAGGGAGTCTGCTTGGGATTCTCTGCCCCTCCCCCCACTCATGCTTGCTCTTAAATAAATCTTAAAAAAATTAATTGATTAGGGGCACCTGAGTGGCTCAGTTAAGCATCCCACTCTTGATCTCAGTTCAGGTCTTGATCTCAGGTTGTGAGTTTGGGCCCTGCATTTTAGTTACTTAAATAAATAAATAGATTTAAGTTAAAAAGTGAGCTATTTAAAGGGAAATGCATGGCACACATCCATAGCAAAAAATTTGCAGTGCAATATAACTGAACGAGGTGGGAACACTGAATTGGCTAAGGCCTCGCATCCTGCCAGCAGATAACTAAGCATGTCAGGGTGGACCAGATAAATGCTGTGATGACACAGTTAAGTGTCAAACCTCAGTGACTGAACACAAGTTTATTTTGCTCACTCATGCTACATGTCCACTGTGGGTTGGCAGGGGTGAGGTGCGGTGGGGAGTGATCAGGGCTGGATCTCTATCCAACAGAGAGACCAGGGTTTCCATTTTGAGTCTACTGATCCTGGTCACCTCAATGAGGAAGTGGCTTTAACACCCTACATCTCCCTGTCTCCTCTTCCAGGCAGAGCAAGACTCCAGCTTTGCACCCGGGGGTAGACAATGCTATCAAAAAAGTGCAAAGTTTTTGCTGCATTTACTCTTAACAGCAAACTTTCATTCACGGCATGTGATACTGGTTGTCCACTCACAGTTATGGGTGAAAGGTTTAAGGGGTGTGGATTGAAATTAGTGGGTCAGGAGAATCCTGGTGCAGGCAGCTGGGAGCTTGGGGGGGCATCTTGTAGCTGCTCTACAAAAACCCAAGCAGGTGACATGCGGACGCCTGATGTTGAAAAGATAGTACTCTAAGAAAACTGACTTAGACACCTACTTTATACAACCTATCCTACCTTATAAAGCATGAACGTGGATGCACCCCCTGCCTCCACTAAAGCCCCACCCCCAGGGTGCCACTGAATGGCCTGCAGACCTCTTCTGGAGGAGCTTTCCAAAGCCGCCTTGAAATAAACAAGCCTTCTGATGCGATCCCAGGGTAGATCCACCGAGATCTGAGCAACCAGCAGAGATCTCTCTGCCAAGGGGACTCCCCGGGAGGCTGGGAAGTACAGCACTCTTGAAAGAAGTAGCTCTCCAGCTTGTGCCACCATGACTGAAATGGCCACAATGTCCCTTGCCCTTCATGCACACTGGGTTACGAGATAAAAGGTGTTGGTACTGCTGGTGACCGTGAACGTCTCTCTCTTCTGAGATTCACCCTTCACCTCCCCAACAGCCCTGCCATCTCTCGGGGACGCATGTAGTTCTGCATCCCCCTTACATCCCATCCCCCATTCTAGGCAAAGACTATATGGCCCAATTTGGTTGAACAGCATTCCCATCTCTAGCCATTGTGATTGGTTCAGAAATGGGCCTGACCTAAGCTGGGCAAAGCACAGTGAATCTCAGGACCTCTACTAAGGGGCAAAGATGTTTTCTCCTTCCTGCTGGTCACGAGCAAAAGAATGCATGGAGCTGTCAGTGCAGCCACCTCGAGCTGCTAGGGACAGTAGTAGTTTAAACAGTGCCCAGAATTCATGCTCATCCAGAAACACAGAATGTGGCCTTGTTTGAAAATAATTAAAGGATTGAGATGACATTATTCCAGGAATAGGGTGAGCCCTAAATCCAACCACTGGTATCCTTACAAGAGGAAGGGCCACAGAGAGACAAGGCCACATGAGGATGGAGACTGAGAAGGAGGTGATGTGGCCATGAGCCAAAGAACAGTGGAAGCCACCAGAAGCTGGAAGAGGCAAGGAAGGAGTGTCCCGTAGAGCTTTTGGAAGGAGCACTGCTCTGCCTACACGTTGACTTTGGACCTCTGGCTTCCAGAATTGACAGCATAAATTTCTCTTGTTTTAAGCCACCAAGTTTGTGGTACTTTGTTACAGCAGCCCTAGGAAACTAATACAGGGACTCAGTCTTAGATGACTAAATACTTCAAAAACTAATGGAAGCAGGACATATCTTGGTGATACTGTTGAGCTCCTGGATCAGACCTTACTTGAGCACATTCACTTTGGACTTTGAAGTTGGCCAAAGCCCATGATGCTCCCATGTTGTTTAAGCCAGGTGGAGGTGGGTTTAATTTTTTTTTATTAAAGGATTTTATTTATTTATTCATGATAGTCACACAGAGAGAGAGAGAGGCAGAGACATAGGCAGAGGGAGAAGCAGGCTCCATGCACTGGGAGCCCGACGTGGGATTCGATCCCGGGTCTCCAGGATCGCGCCCTGGGCCAAAGGCAGGCGCCAAACCGCTGCACCACCCAGGGATCCCTGGAGGTGGGTTTTATATTCATCCCAGCCAAAGAATTCCTGGCTGATACTGGTTTAACTTACCACCTCATTCCTCAGTCAGAAAAGAATGTTAATACCTCAAGTGAGGGAGACGTTAATGAATCCATTCTCACTGAGGTTTTCAAACTGATTCCTTGCAAGCTTTGGTGCCATTCTAACTACACAGAGAAGACCTCCTAACTCAGTAGGACCCCCCAGTGGCTGGAAGGCATCACAGTTGAGATTACTGGTCTCACTCTAGACCCAAAGCGTTGCTTGAGTGCCCCCAATGGGTGTAGCCCCCTTAATGAAAACCATCTGAGTTTTGTGAGCATCATGCTCTGAATGCACATGAAAATGATCATGCACTTTCTTCCTTGTGGGATCCTCACGTCTTAAGGAGATACCATGATCCCAAGTCTAAGGTTCAGAGAGGCAAGACACAAACACCAAACAAGGGGCAGAGCTTCAGCATCTTACCCCATACTTCCCACCATGCTGCCATTTCTGGCCCTGCCACAGGGGGCTCAGTGGGCAAGCCAATGTTGAAGCTTTATGGTCAGAAGCCATTGATTTCAGTTCACGCCCTTAGTGATAAATCACTAAGATGAGTCACCTCTGATGTCACTGAGACCAGTGG